CAACACGATCAAAAACCATTGCTTTCTGGGAACGGACGACCAATGGGCAAGATTGGCGCTTCGCTGTGTTGTTGGCTCTAGCACTTACAGCTGCCGCACTAGCCTGGGGTTTCTCCAGCTGCCATTTCTACAGTACATGTCTCAGACATAGCAGAGGGATTTCGATGCGCTTCTGCAGGGTTTGTTCCATTCTTCCACTCCTTTCCTATGAAGGCAATCATCTAGAAGTATGGCTGTGGAATTTCTTTTTCTTTGTTTGAACGGGCTGCAGCCGTTTGCAGTAAACTGTCTCCTCTCCCACCCATTCGTTCCTCGCTAAGAAAGCAAGCCGCTTGAGCTGAGCCATGCGGCTGAGCTGAGCTGAATTTTTGGGCCGCATGCTGCGTTCATTTCTTGTGTTGCAGCACAGCAAATGGAAGTGGAAGTGACGCATGCATATGTGAAGTTCAGGTAGGTATTTGGTTTCAGCTCCAGGGTGGGTGTGGGCGTGTGAGTACATGATTGCTATAAAAGTAAACCTGTATCTACACAGCGTCTGGTCGCCGACGAAGACGAGTTGCGTCACATCGTGTACGGTAGTATCCCGCAGGCGTATACGGAAGAATAATAGTTTCTCTCTCTGCCTCTCATTGAGCTCACGTCAATGGGCAATGATGCACGCTGTGGCGAGCTGGGCGTATCAGTTGGAACAGAGTTAAGAATAGACGCCGACTCGGGCTTGTATTTGCACCGAGCCTATTTTCCAATTACTAGGCCTAGTACTCTGGCATTCCCTGCTTCAGATCCAATTGTTTCCTAATTATTCCCATGGCCTGCTTTGCCCTGTGGGTATGTCGTGGCGCGTGTTGCTTTTTTTGTATCTTGCCCATCTCCCAAAGGAGCGCTTGGTTGGCTAGCAATTGGAAACCATGGCCAGTATACAATCTACCGCCTATCAGTAGGGCGAACGTGAAATTATCTTTTGCCCAGAACGGGGGGGTTTTGGGGTTTTGGGGGGGGCTACATCGCGCATTGTCGCGTGAGTGCCCCCCCATGTTCGCCATGTGAGCGGCACATCTCATACCGAAAACGAGGAGGCTGGAACGGTTCTTGGATACAGGGAATGAGGCGTATCTTTAGGAAAATGCTACAATCAATCTTTAATATAGACAGGGTTGTTGGAGAGATGATGCAAGAGAGAGACAGAAACAATCATGTCTTTGATGAAAATGCTACAACACTATAAACTGGAGGGGCGTGTGTGATGTTTGAATGTGCACAAGTCGTATTCCGTCATGGAATAGAAAAGAGGCTAAAAGTCAATCTGCGTCGCAGCACTTGGATCCAGACACGTGCAAAGGGTATCGCAGGATTTGGGATGGAACAAGGGCCGGGCGGGATGGCCACGTTTTTTTCGAGGGTCGCTCTTTTCTGTCTCTTTCTCTGCCTCTCTGCTCATCAAGGTGTTTGGGTAGGGGGTAAGGGAGGGGGTGAAGATTGTCCATCCTTGATGTGATGGCCCAGATGAAGCAGACGGGATAAGCAAATGCAACACTTGGCTGGGGCCTGGGCCGCATGGGAACAAGGAAGGGGGGGAAGGAGTAGAGAAGAAGTGACGATGATGGAAGCGAGGGCATCTACAACGAGCATGGCGAGTCTAGGCAGAGGAAGATGAGCGGAGGGGTGCATCGTATTGCCATGATTCCTGCTTGCAGACTACAATAGGCACCTACTGGATTATGGAGCAGACTAGAGAGATGGAGCATTGGAGCCGAGTTACGATTTACTCTGTTTGTCTAGGCTTGGCTTGATGTTTACTAGCCGAGCGTTTACACGCGGCAGGGCATGGATTTGGATTCCACAAGGCACGGCAATATCAGAGGGACCAGAGACGAAGGATCAGCTAATTCATGGCATCATGTTGTTCCAAATTTCACTAGTAGTAGGAGGTATTATTATCGTGAGTTTACTAATTGCTTCGTCTTGTTCTTTTTATAACATCTTTTTGGGGGGGTGCTGATCAGCAAAGCGCAGGTTGAGTGGTTTGGTTTGCTAGCCATTGCTCCGTAATTCTTTGTAAAATACGCGCCCGGTCGAGTCAGTCCAGAGATGTTCGACTGCGCCTCTTTCAGGCCAAAAATACCTGCTACACGCTACACGCTACACTAATTTCAACACGGCGTGCATATCACATCTAAACACCTCAAATACTTTTTTTTTTCTTGCACGCTCTATATTCTTGGTCTCTCTCTCTCCGGGCGTGGTCCGGACATGTAGGCGGGGGAAATTATTTTTTCTCTCGCTTCCTTTTTCTCGGCCTTTCTTTTTGCTTGTTTATTTGATAATGTTTTAGATAATTTACTTTTATTATGAATTCCTAGTCGACTACTGCTTGTATAGGGAAGGCAAACAAAATCCCAAATCCCCCAGAACCCCTCCGCAGCGATGCCGATGGGATATGGGATTTGGGATTTATACTGGAGATTGTGGATGGGGAGCGAGACAGACGCAATGCGACGTGCTGCACTGCACTGCACTGCACTGCACGCTTGAAAGGCTGATTAAAGGAAGCTGAAAAGAAGGAGACGCCGAAAGACTGGCAGACATGTACAGGCAGACATTGATACTGCAGGCGGAATGGAGGGCAGATTTTCAATCAGATTGACATGTAGTCATGTAGGACTTGGCATCTCGTAGACCTGACTCGATGAGATCTTGTACTTTGTATCTCGCATCCCACAAGGCAAGTGCTTGTGTAAGCGGGGGACAAGTAACAAGATACTTGGTGTATAACATGAACATTTGCTACACCAGTTGAGTGTCAATATTGTTTGTGTATACCTTGCCTGGGGGTAAAAGTTAGGTTCTCGCATTCTCTTTCTCTGTCCCCTGTTTGCCCATGTGCGCTCTAGAAGAAGAAAAAAAAGCGCATCATCTTTGCGTCCATGGACAAGTATATACGACGTATATACGAAAGATGTACATGGCCATTACCTGATGTGTGAATGCATATGAGTATAAAAGAGCTGCGTCAAACTACAGACGCACAGCTTCATGCACGTACACCGTTATGGAAGAATTCTGCGCGCCTACATGCCTACCTACCAACCTAGTGCAAGAACTAGGGGTCGTTGACGAGCTTTTTGCGAGGATGCCTCCCACGTTCGTTTCGCCTCTTTGTGTGTGTTGCTCTATTCCCTCTTTCTGCTCCATTGTGCGCCGTCCCGGCGAAATGGGCTCGGGGTCAGCCCGTGGGGTCTGGTCTTTGCTTTCGGGAATTCGATGCGATGCGATGCTGGGTAGAGAAACTTGGGAGCTGGGAACGAACGAGCGGCCACTGCGTTTGGATCTGGACATGGGCCGTGGAGCATGCCCATCTATACCGGAGTCGTAGTCCGGATGATGGATGCTGCTCGTATATACTGTACCGTCTGTACTTGCATACTGTAGTAGGTCTACATGCTTGTTTCTTTGCCTCGCTTCTCATCGTTATCCCACACTCCCTCCCTGTCCACTCTTTTCTCTCTCTCTCTGCCTCTTCTGCCTCTCTCTCTCGCGTAGTCCGTAATGTCAGTCTTCTTTTTTGCCCGTTTATCCTCCCTGCCCGGACTATCTTGTCCCGTCTTTTTTGCCCTGTACCGGCACCGGCGTTTTCCACGGCGCATCCCCGGTGCCCATCAGTCTTCTATTTTTGTGTCTGTCCCTGTTCATTTACCAGCAGGTATACCTGTAAGGTGTGTCTGCAGCAGGGAAAAGGTAAGTGCACGTCCCCCTCGTACGATGATAGTCCTGGCAATCCTCTATCCTTCTGGCCTTTGGTTTTCGGCCCCCCCAAGGCCAAGCGATATCCGGCAACTCAATTATTCGCCGGCGGGGTTTATAGGCGGAGCTACGGACTGCTCAGGATGCCGACCAAATTGCCCGTCGGGCGAGTTAGCGACTGGGAAGGAAATTTAGCTTGACGGATATGCAGATCCCCCCCTGGTGTCTTACTCATTGTAGATGTTTCAACTTTTGCTCGCTTGATTCATTATCACGGCTGTTGTTCTTAGGCTCTTGTAACAAAGTACCTACTACCAACAGCCAACTGCTATGTACCAACAGCCAGATACCGAACTCGGGATGCCAAGAATCTCCAGCGCGCATAAAACCGGGGGCTGCCGTGGCGGGTGCTACGTAGCACCACTTATAATATCACGCTCTGTTGGGTGCACTGGCATCTGCATAGTACCTTTGGTGTTAAGCACCTTGAAACATGATGCCCGGGTAAGGTGCTGTAAGCTGTCAGTCGCTTTTCAGCCCAGCTTCGGTCCAGTATAGCGCTGCTTTGTGCAAATCTCCCTGCCACGTGGGAAGGCAGCGACCCTTGGACGAAACACTCATTTGCCGACGCTGAGCCCGCAACCCTGGTAACGCAAAAAGCCGAAAGTCCATACTGTATACTGTATACTGGAGATGCTACCTGGCTGTTCTTCGCCTTGCTTCTTTGAGGAATTGTATGACAGTTGCCCAAGAACCGGCGGTCGGACTGCAACAAGGCTGAGATGTGGAATACTACTGCTCTAGGGACTTTGCAGCAGCAGCATACGAAATAGGACAACAAGGTGGCTTATCAAGCGAAGCGAGCGAGGAGCGCGCGCGGCTATGTGTCAGGTCGCCATTTCTTCCCGCTGCTTATCTAACATCGCCGCAATGATTATATCAGCCTTTTGCTCTTCCACACTCGCCGAGTTGTGTATGCAATGCCGGCGCTGATGTGTAATACGTCTTGGTGCGTTCCGCGCCCCTCCATCCTGACAAATCCCCCGCGTGGCTCGCTACTCTACTATGCCAGCGCCACGCAATAGGGAGCAGCCTTGGGTTGGGCAGAGCAGTCACAGAGCAACGGCCAGCGCCCGGCTCTGTTGGGTAGCCCTGATGGACAGCTGTGGAGGGGTAAAAGAGGAGGAGGGAGCAGGCAGAGCGCTGGACTCCAAGCGACTGCAGCACAGTACTTAACCAATTGCCTCTCCAACCGCCCAATGGCCTTTTCTCTGTCCAACCTCCTCAACTTCACGTCGACGCTGCTCCTGACTCTGTCGGATCCGCTGCAACAGCTCTTCACCGCACCCAACAACGCAAGCTCAGCATCAATGGCTGCCAAACCGACCGGCCTGCTCGCCACAAAGGGCATCGAGCTCTTGACCTGGGGTAAGTCGCCGTTGAAGCTAAGATTTCCCCCGCAGTCGGACAAATCATCTACTACAAGTATTGTCTCTTCACTTATGGCATCAATTCCGTCTTCTTCGCATAGCGCTGTATTCACGTCGTACTCGGTACTCGTGCCCTGCCCGTGCCCTGCCTCGCCGACGTTTGTACTCCCTACGAGCATCGTACAAGCCCTTGGAATCCTTCTCATCCTTCCCCTAGCACAGACCTTGCTTTTTCAACTCTCTCCCGCCTTTATGCTGCTGCTACAGCACAGTCAGTACAGCTGCCTAGTGGCTAGCCGCTCTGGCCCATGATATTCCTGCCATTCTGCCGTACGAGCACCGTTGCAGGAACAAGGGCATCTTTATGCAGCCTGGCGAGAGATCAAGGGCCACGGGCAAAGGCAAACCGCCACAATCGCTTCTGCCCTGCCTTGTTCCCTTGTTTCCTTGTCTCCAGACTTCAACCCTCATGCCACACCCCCGGTACCTGCAGTTGTGCTTGTCTCCGGAGTCGGTACGAGCTGCGAACCTGGGTAGCGAGATAAACAGCTTACTCTGTCTGTGCGTTCGTCTTGCCTCGCCACGATGGTGATTATGCTGGCCATGGCGATGACGTATTCGAGTTGAAGAGTTTGGGGAACAAAGCGTCATAATCATACTCTGAAGCGAATTCCTGGGTTCCTGGGTTCCTGGGCATCATGTCATGTCAAAGCGCAGTTGCTTGCCGGCATCTACACCGTGGTATTCTCGGCAGATGCAAGAGAGAACTCATCTCGGATTTATAGCAGCAAAAACGAATAATCCCGGATTGAGCAAATGCTGCCATTGTTGCCCATTCTTCTTACCGTCTTGTCTCGTCTCATCTCGCCAAAGGTTTCGGCAAGGTGGTCGAACGCATCACATGGCCTTTTTTTTTGCCCGTTTTATCTCAACCCTAGCCTTGTCCCTCTGCCAAATTGGAAAAAAGAGAACGAAGGAAGAAGGAAGTCCTTATTTTCCTGATTTGGCCAGAATACAAGCCGTATTTGACCTTTGGATCAGTTTTCTCTTTTCCTTCTTATCAACATCCCCTCGTCTATTTGATGGCAGTGCAAGTGCCTGTCTACTGGGCAGAATTCAATAGTCTCGGGGAATCCCCCCGGGCCTCCTTGTTCGCATACAATTGAACATGGCGTTTTAACTCCCCGAGGATTGTTTGTCGCTGACCAGGACAGGCACCCCCAACGGCGTCAAGGCCAGCATCCTGCTGGAGGAGCTCAAAGAGGCATACGGCCTCGAGTACACATGGCAGGGCCTCAACATTGGCACAAACGTGCAAAAGGAGCCCTGGTTCACGGCCATCAACCCCAACGGCCGCATCCCCGCCATTGTCGACCACGACAACAAGGGCCTCGCCGTCTTTGAGGGCAACGCCATCCTGGGCTACCTGACACGCCGCTACGACACCAAGAACCTCTTCTCGTGGCCCGTCGACTCGGACGACTACACGCGTGCCGAGTCCTGGATTGGCTTCCAGCACGGCGGCATCGGCCCCATGCAGGGCCAGGCCGGCCACTTTGTGCGCTTTGCCAAAGAAAAGGTGCCCTACGGCATGCAGCGCTACGTGGGCGAGACGGAGCGCCTGTACGGCATCCTCGACAACCGCCTCAAGGACCGCGACTACCTGGTGGGCGAGGGCCGCGGCAAGTACAGCATCGCCGACATTGCCTTTGTGGGCTGGGTCAACGGCCTGGAGCTGTCCACCACCACGTCCCACGACCTGTTCCCCAACGTCAAGGCCTGGCTGCTGCGGCTCTGGGACCGCCCGGCGGTGCAGCGAGGCTTCGCGGTGCCCAACCCGCCCATGCTGGATCCGCGAAAGGGCCCCAGTCCAGAGCAGGCCGCTGCCATTGCCGAGGCCAAGAAGCTTGTTGACGCCGCCAAGGAGCAGTTTGGCTACAAGTACACGTCCCCATAGAAGGAGGGCGTTGTGTTGTACAAGTTGAACAAAATAAAAAAGAAACAAAGGATTCTCGTTAGCGTTTGATCCCGTAGGACAGAAAAAAGCAGGGAAATACAAACAAGAATTCCCCCCCGCTGTGAACCCGGCCCTCTCCAATCCTTCGCTTAACAAGGCGTGAAATAAACCTGTCAGATCTCTGTATAACCATCTGTGACTGCGTACAATCGCAACAAGAACTGCTAGGAGCCGCAGTGTCTCGGGCTTGGCGATGGAGCATTAACACAATGCTCCGTATTACCCTTTCCTTTGTAATACTAGTAGTGCTAGCAGTACTAGCATCCCGCTCTGCGTTATGCAGCTAGGAAAGACGGGAGAGCCCTATCTGATACAATAACAGCCGGCAATTGACTCATTATGACATGTCGAAACAGTTTAGTCTGATTTACAGCTACTCGACTCTTGCGTACGCAAAAACTTGCTGCTTGCTAGCGGTGGCTCATCAAGACTAGGAGATTTAAAGTGGCATGATGCGCATGGCGCCTGGAGCCCCGGAATCCGCCAGGAAGAGTGAAGGATTCCAGTGAATTGAGTACCTACGACTACTCAAACGAGCCAGCGAATCGCGGAATCGCGTAGGATCGGCCGTTGCCTTTTAAACTAACAAAAAGGCGAGATTTCAAATTTACACAACGGTCGTGGTGGTGGCTTGGGGAGGAATTCCTGCATGTTTTTGAAGGAACAATGGACCACTTGGGTGGGTTTATTGCGTCTCGACAGAAATGCCTCACTGCGTGTGTGTCTTTTTCTTCTGCTTGCGTATTGGTTTGATTTTTTTCTTTCTCTTTTCTCACACCCTCTTTTTGCCTCTTTTTTTTTTTCTCTTCTCCATCTCAGCTCTTCAGCTGCTTCTTGGCTTGCCGAGCGGACGCTATCGTAGGGAGCGCCGGATCTAGCAGATGATGCCTGCCTCGGATCATGGCGCTAGGCACTTTGTTGGTTGAATTTGTAACACATGAAAATGCAAAGATGACAAGTTGTCTTTTTTTTCTTCCTTTTTTCCCTTTTTTTTTCTTTCTACTAGTGGTAAATGGTACTAGTAGCGGTGATGCTGGTTTCAGAGCGAGTACATGTACATACCATACCTACCTATGTAAGTCGTTTCTTAAGTCACACTGAGATTAGGAGACGGGATACTGAAAGTGTACCTTATTACGAATATTACGAATATGATTTATTTCAACGGTGTTTACGGCGTTTACGGTGAGCTTTCTATCAGAACTGTATAAAACATGACAACGTCTCCGAATAATATCCCGGTTCGCAGCAATATGGAGACAAAAAGAAAAAAACATTCGATTCTACCCGCACAGACAGAAAGAGAGTGCGTCAAAACAGACATGCTCGAGAACCCCCGTTTTTCTCCTCATGCAAGATAAAAAAGAGATGCTACGCAGGGCCAGGTCCCCTGAATGCTACCATGTCCCCACGTAGATGCTGTATCGTGACAGTTTCCAAGAACAATGTCCTTGTACGTGCGTGCAGCATGCAGTGCTACCATTGCGCGGGATACGCATCACAGCGCTGTACTCCTTGTACGAGTATACGCACCCATGCCTCCGTTTTCCTTCAACACCGCCAAGACTCCATCCATCATGCTGCGCTGCCCACTTCATCCCACTTCCTCCATATTCGTTGCTGTCCAATCTTTCTGTCTACTCTAGGCGCCCATCCCATCCCATCGCTCGGTCCCGGCTGCCGCTCGCCCGGTCCCGCCGCCAGGGCCCGTCCGTCACTCCCGCTGTCCCGTTCCAACCTCGCTTTTTTTACTCGCTCCAGGTCCTGTACCTGCTGCCACTAACATGTCGCATCCCAGCAGCATTCACCTTCTCTCGGTCTTCGGTTTTTAGTGAAGACAAGTCCCCTACATGTAACTTAAATCCCAGGGGGTTTTCTTGCAAAAAGGCCTCCCGATCCTCCCGCGAGATTTTGTCCCTGATGAACAGCCGACGCTACTGGTATATGATATGGAAGGTGTAGGCGTCCTTTGTGCGGGCACAAACGAGGACATTTCCACTGCACCTTTACTAGATGCCAAGGCACGTCCTAGTGCTACTGCTAAATCAAAGTCCTATTATGAATCATATAAACAAAGTCCTTTATGGACGCCTTTTTCTCTACCGTATGCTCTTGAAAGGCAATGGCCGAGGGCCAAGGCAAAAAGGCCCGTGCTGTGCTGGTCCATACGGAAAAAAAAGGCACCTAGTCGCTCGTGAGAAGGAAACCCACGCATCTAGGCCTACCTGGGAGCGGCAGATGTTTCGGTTCACGAGCATTCCATTCAATTGATACTAGTACAGGTAGCATCTGCCTTGAGGATCTGGCCTCTTAGTCTATGGGGGGTAGGAGAAAAAAAACGAGGTTCCAGGCGGTCCACGGAGTAATACACCCGAGTCCATTACGGGTAAACAATAATTTACACGGCCATTCATACGAGAGGAGCTAGGATGGCCTGGCAACAGGAAGGTCTTGCATACTTGTAGATTTGGACCCGGTATCCCCAACAGATCCAGATGGCAAGATGATGTTACGCTGGAACAGATGATACATAGTAGTAGTAATAGCAGCAGCAGCGGCAGTATGCAGTACATGAAAAAGAACAAGGGATCAATCAAATACAAAAAGGACATGTAAACAAATCAATAAATGCCCAGTCCTCCTTGGCAGTGACATCTCTCTCAATTCTTTCATCTCCACCACCACACACACACCTCTCCTAGCCATATGCCGCCTCTGCTTCCCCGGGCTCCTCTTCCTCGCTCTAGTCTTGGAGCAAGGAGCAGGGGCAAAAGATTCGATAGACGAGGGAATTTACCATGGGTCTAAATTGTAATACACCGAGAAGAAGAAGAGGCCAAAAAAAAGAAAAGACGGAAAAGCAAACGGGGGCACCCCCCCCCCCCCCTTCTCTTCTTCTTCGTTCTTTGCCCCTCCTTTCCTTTCCGTTCATGCATACATACAAACGACTGCCCTGCACTAGGACTTTCAATAAAATGCTACATTTATTACAGTTTTGTTTTTATTTAGAATAACGGCCAATTCTGAGACAATTCTCTAAACTTTGTGGAATCATTCTTCTTTTTTCATTTGTTAAACATTCTTCGCTTGTCATCAGAATTGCCATTTTAGGAAACGCCCAGCCCGCAAAGAACAAGTGCCAAGCGGAAATAAAATCTCACTCCATTAATTTTTTTTCCTAAAAGAAGCTTTTGCCTATATCATGATAGTAAAGTCTGTGGGGATGGAGCTTCTCTCTCTCTCTCTCTCTCTCTCTTTTAAAGTACCCCGTTATTTTCAAAGGAAGCAGATCAAAATAAAGGCGATTCGCTAATGTGAGGCAAAAAAAAAAAAAACTACGATGGAGGCAAATCACAAAGGAGAAGCTAAAAAGGGACCTTGGCTAGAGGCAAAATAACAAGGAAAGAAGATCAAGGTAAGAAAACAAAACGGCCCCCAATTCCACCCCCCCTTACACCCCTTCAACTGGGAACAAAAAAACTTGCTATTGCTCTTCCTGGTCTGGTCTCTCTCTCTGTCTCTTTCTCCACTCTGCTTGTCCTTCCTTTTGCCATCTGATAATTCGCCTCTTGCCCCCCCTCTCTCTTCAGATCCTTCCTAGTACACGATAGTTGGATACATTTTGCACATCAAGTCTTGCAGACACGCTTGTATATACAAAGAACAAATGTACACGCCCCCTTCTCCCACATCGGAATCCATCAAGGCGTCTCGGAACCCGGGAGACTTCCGAGGTGAACAATGGCGAAAAATCTGTAGCTCTTTAGCCTCTCTGATTCAAACCCCCATCACTTACATATCGTACTCCAGACCCCATACCCACGGACCCATTGCCAGCTTTGATGCTATTCTCATCGAATCAAGGAAAATGCCAGCAATTGCAACAAGCATACACCCTCCCTTACTCCCTTTCCCTCCTCCATACTCCCTCTCCATGTCGTGTCATATATATCGCAGTGGCGTGAGCGTGCGTGATGAACGAGTGGATGGGATTGATTCTCCCCGGGTAAACCATCCCCATCCCCGGCCCATGACCCAGACCAGACCAGGCCGAGCTCTCCAAGGGAAGAACCCCTCCCCCCTTCCCCTCCTCTGTACTCAAAGGAAAACCCAGCCGGCTAGTCATTCAACTGCTTCCGTGTCATGTCCTTCGTGATCCGCACTAATCACGCACCATCTCGCCACGGCTATGTTGCCGCGAAGTCTTGCCCTTTCGGTAAGATAAGAGAGTCCAAGAAAGATCCCCGATGAGAAGAGGGAGGGGGGGGCAATTGTGGGAAATAGCATTTCCCAGCAGCTGCTACTACTACCTGTTTGAAGCAAAAAACCGTTGAATCAACAAGCGAGCAAATGAAATAGAGACAGAGACAAGCCAGACCCAACGAAACTAGCCCGGATAGGGAGATGGAACGTGGAATCTGACATACATAGCTTTCAACTTGGCGATGCGAGATAAAGTGATGTGATGTGCTTTCTTCCCTGTGAAATTCTGTTTTCTTGACTAACACGGCACGTATCTGGGCGGGCCCCCCGTTCGAAAAGCAAGCCCCATCCCATGCTGCAGAATCGTGCACGATTTCTCCACGTTGTCGTCTCCCCCCTGGGGCCAGATCTTCTTTCTGTAGACGAATCAGCAAAGCACCATCACAGCACGTTGCAGGTCGATGAAACGCGCGAGGCCATGAGCATAAGGGACCAATCCACCCAGACAAATACAACGTACATTTCACTACCGATACATACACACACTCGTACATACATACCTATCTAGACCCTCCATGTACTCCGATCTCGCCGAGTCTCCCAACTCCGGTTCATCTTTTTTTGTTTTCTTCTTTTTTTTTCGGCATTGTCGAAAAGACCTCACGTACCCCGTCCCTAATCCTCCCATGCTACTCAACGCCTTGACGCCATCCAAAGCAACTCTTTTCACACCGTTCAAGTGTATTGAAGCGCATAGGCATGTCAGGATACCCATGTTGACAATGAGCAAATTTAAGCAGAGCTTAGGTTCGCCGCCGTCTCCAGTCCTCCCCTCCACCGTTTTCCTCCCGTAATTCGAAAAGAATCATATACCGCAAGCTCCGAGAATATGCAACCGTTTTCAGTAATATACGTCTTTCTCTTCAACACGACAGAGTGAAGAAGTAAAAATCGTAGAAAGAAACGATGGAAAGGACAAAATAACAAAGAAAATTAAAAAAAAAAAAATAATAGCGGGAAAGGATTGCAGCAACCCCGGTGCATGCATGAACCATCTCACCCCTGGCTATGAAGAAGAAAAAATTGATACATTCAAGATCCAGATTTCACCTAGGGCTCTTGAGAAAAGATTCCCGCATCCTTCGCGGCACGCCTAGGCAGAAGACCATGTCGAATGCCTTGGAAGAAGATGTAAAGAAATTTGCTGCGGTGGAATATGCCAAGCAGCTGCGGGTATCAATAATGCAGATTACTTTTTTGTGAACTGATTTATACCGTCCATAATTTTCGTGAAAAACCGTTCGTCTAGACTCCTTGTAAATCTCCCCAATCAATGCAAATGAAGGTGCCGGTTATTCTGCTTGGCTTTTTTTTTTCGTGTCTGTTCTTTCTTCTTTTTCTCTCTTCGTTTCGATTATAGCGCAGAGACGCCGGCAGAATTAGGATCCACCACATTGTCGGAGAGGTTAATCAGGAGTTGAGCAAGGCATCTCTTAGTGGCTGCGTCGTCACGGAGAACAGACGAAAAGGTGGCATCTCGCAAGGGTTCGGGAAGGCATTGTCGAAGGGCCTCGCGCGCTCTGGCATTATCACTCAATCTGTAGCATCACTTGTCAGAATGACTCTCCTCAAACATGTGATAATCCTAGTAGGGAGATCCATTGGGCGAGTCTTACCGAAGGAAGCATCTCACCACGTGCTTAAGCAGGCGAGCGGTCTGGGATTCGACGAGCTGAGCAACCATATTACTCAGGACGGTGCCGACAGCATAGAAGCGCTCATACGTGGCACAGATGTAGTTCAGACCATTGTCGTCTAGCAGTATCTTCTGAACAATGAAGATGGCAACAGTCTTGCTCAGCTCTGATCCAGTCTCCATGATACGGAGGCAGAGTGGGATGATCTCCGTCGTGAGGAGGAAATTGATGACCTCGGAAGAGTCGTTCTTGACTAGGGCCCCGATGACGCCCAGGCTTGTCAGGCGGAGGTACTCAAACGGTCGTGATTTGGACGTCGTGTTGAGAAAAGGGTAGAGGAAGAGAGGTATGTGCGCTGCCAGGGGTGTCAGTAAGCGATGCTGTAACCTTATCTGCGATTTCACCAGATTGCCAGGGAGCTTTGACTGCAGCTTACCGTTGAGGAACAGGGTCCGCGTATCGTTGTGGGATGCCACGCACTGGAGGAGAGCCAGCGCATTGCATACTCTATTCGATGCAGCGGCCGTGAGTTGCGATGGATTGAGGAGCGTATAGACGGAGATGATTTCTTGCAAGAGGGATGTCATGACACCTGTGAGAACCGAGGTCAGCAACGCATTCGAGGAGTTGAAGAAAGAATAGACAAGCAAGGGGCGGCGGAGGGGCAGAGCAAACAGTGAGAGTAAAGGGGAATCATACCAAACGAATGCCACAGTATCAAAGCCAACTCAGGCACCTGTTCCCTCTTCTTGCTGAGCTCCAGCAATGCTGCCTCTCTGGTGTTTTCGCTCAAAAGGTCCGCAATGTATGCCATTGTCCGCCTATTGTCCTCCGAGATATTGTCATGTCCACCATCTTGCCCGTGAGAGGCGGCAAGGCTGCTGTTGACGTTGGCGTGACCGCCGGGCATGCGTCCATAGTGAGGCTGCTGCTGAGCTTGCTGCTGAGCCTGTTGGGCTTGCTGTTGCTGAGCTTGCTGCTGTTGATGCTGTTGCTGCTGGGCCTGCTGCTGGGCCTGTTGAGCCTGCTGCTGCTGGGCCTGTTGCTGCTGCTGAGCTGCCGCAGCAGCTGCCTGGTGTGCGTGCTGTTGTTGGTGATGGCCGGCCTGCTGGTGCATCCAGGCCGAATCCGCCTGGGGGTTGAACTGGTGGTGGCCGTAGACGTGCGCGGATGGCATCATCCTGGCGGTTTCGGGGGGTTCCGTGAGGACCCAACAGTGAATGGAAGAAGATGCGGTCGAGAGAACGACAGGTACGCAGTCTCCTCTGGCGAGGCGGGGGATGTTTCTCTACTGCTCGCGATATCCTGCTCTGGAGGTCGTCGTCACCGTCCTTATCTGAACCAAGGGAGAGACGAAAGTTGCCGAATAGCTGCGGGTAAAGGTCGGAGCTGCAAGGCTGAGGGTCGGTCCCAGGGCTATGGCGGGAGCCGGGAAAAAGCTGCGGTGTGTGGCGCTCGGCAAGTAGGTTCGAGTAGCGTTGTCGAGGGCGCTGGCACAAGGGCAGAGAGCCGCCCGATCTCGCGTTGCAAGGGGAGTCGATTTTTGTGTAGCTTGAGGTGGCTTTACGGACTCGGTGTTGCTTCTTGAATGGCGGATGCTTCAAGGAACGAGGCAACCCCACCGCCTAGGCACGCGGGTACGATTAGGTAATCAATCTCTGGTACCTGAGGCGAGGCGCATCTAAGGATTGAGGCTCTGCGCAGACTGGACTGAATATTGTGCAAGCTCGACTCGAGATCGGCGTGTCAATACTGCCTTACTTTCTTCTTCAAGTTCCCGACTCACCTTTCCGATATTTTGACTTTTTTCGATCTGAAATTACTCCCTTGTTGCATATTGATTGCTATGCGTGGAAACAAAGTAATCCTGGTACAACATTGAATTCAGCTCCCAGCATTGGCGTCGTGGGGCTGCTTTCTGAAGGCTGATGTTACATGAGGTGTACTGACAAAATCCTGCATGCAAATGTGTCTTTCACAGCATGTGGTTCTAACTGGTGGATCTGGTAGATGATTGCCACTCCAATTGCGTGCATTTGCTCATCATCGAACCAATCGCCTTTTGAACGGCTCAGCGTGGCGATATGAGTTATGATAAGATAAAGGTAGCAGACAGCAGAGATCGTGAGAGCACATAGAAATCTATGACTACTCAGCTTATTTTAGTATAAACATATAATTGAATTCAATCCAGTTTGCTTGCTCTTGCAAAAGTGCTTCTAATGTAAATTTTCACATGTAACGAAACAACTCAGAACAACATTCGGGTCCTCTTTTAACATAGCGCGGTGCTTGACAGGTCGAAAATAGGAAGAGAAAAAGAGATACCAAAGGTAGATAATGCATAGAAAAAGAATGAGATGATCAAATAATGATAGAAACGCCCACGCCATGCCGAAATGTCAGAGATAAATATATCAGATCAACGCACGCAATGGATGCCTCGAGAACGCTTCAAGTCTCATCAAACATGACTGACACAATCTCATCGAGTATTGTAAATACCAAGTGAGAACTGCACACATATCAATTAGTAACATAGTCCTGCAAGTACAAAGATAGAGACAAGGAAGGAGATCCTACTTGAGCCTGGAGTTGTTGAACGTTGCAAAGAGGCGTCGGCTTGCCGCCTGAGCATTGACCCGTCCAACAACATTTCCCGCTAGATCCGGTACCAGGGTCGCCAGCATCAGGCTAGCTTCTGTTCGTGTCTTCTTCTTTTCTGCCGCGGTGCGTGGTTTTCGATCTCGAGCCAGCTCTCCGTCTGGCCATAGTGCGCTTCGTAGCATGCCCATATATCGTAGGAGCGATTCCTCCTGTACTGCCATTTTGATGTTTTCACGTACCCTTTTTTCGATTGTCCCGCCGAGTAGTTGCTGTAACACCACCACAACTGCTCTCCCTCGCAACCAGTTATTCCCTTTGTTGAGCTCAAAAACTTCGAGAAATATGTCACAAATAGGCTTGATGAAGGGCTCCAGCTCCTTGTTCTCAAACGCATCTAGCTCTGCCTCTGCCTCTGCAGCAGGGAAATTTTCTTCGCTGACGTTGAGCGGCATCGTATTGAGCTGATTCGTTGCCGCCGCAATGATGTTCTGTCCCGCAACCGAAAGCTGAGGCAGTACTGGGATATTGCCCAAGATGTCTTCCATGCCATCCGCGACCGAATCATACAAGCGAGTCATCATATCCTTCTTGTTATCTCGGTCCATCGCATCCTCGCCGGATGTGATAGCACTTTGCGATAGAAAAGCTCGTAGTTCGCGACTGCGACACACCTCGGGCAAAAGTAAGAGCTCACGTAAGTATTTTTCCAGGGCTGTCCGTCTTTTGCGAAGAAAATCGCTCTGGAACTTCATCACGACACGGCGTCTAGGGAAATCCAAGTGCCGTACGGAAGGATACCTCGACCGCAGCTTCTGGTGTAGCTCGTGGAATTCACTATATCTTCTCATCACAGCCCAGGACGACGCCGGCATCTGTTCGCCTGCATCTCGATGAACCTCGATGACGTACAAAGCAAATTCTCGACCATCATCTTCTCGCCCCACTTGAATGGACTTGATCTTGATCTCAGACCTTCCATAGAGACTATTGTCGCTTTCCTGTATCACGTACTGCTGTCGCTGGAGCTCCTTGCGCCTAATCTCTCTCTGTAGGCTTGTCTTGGATTTTTTGAGAATCCGCAGCTCTGCTGCGTTGTTGGTGAGCTCTGCCTTCTTTGACAAAGATTCTATAACTGCATCTTGCGCTACTAAGCGATCGATATCGTTTGTCAGCGCTGTGATGGCTTCTGCTAACCCCAGATCTCCCGGGGCGGCCTCGTGGATCTCATCCTCTTCATCGGTCTGCGCTTCTTCGTCCACATCGCCGCCATCATCTGACAAATATTTATGGTCATCTCCAAAAAGGTCATCGTCTACAAAAACGCCGATTCGAGATGCGGCACTGACAAGCCCTAATGACGACAGAGTGGGCTTACCAGCCTCTTTTGCCGGCAGCAGAGGCTTCCCAGCGTCAAATGAACCTCGGTTAGAGTCAATATCATTGGAAAACAAGCTCGACATGTTATCTTCAGTATCAAACAACGAGGCTCGCAGATCTTCAGCAGTCTGCGGTCTGTCGTCTTCCAAAATGTTCGTCAAAGCCTGCTCAACAGCCTGCACAACTTGCTTGTCAGGCGTTTGCTGCCGTGATAGATCCTGATCCAAACTCTGTACCGAGTCCACCATTCCGAAATTATCCAAGTCATCGTCGTCAAAGAGAGGGTTCGTCGTCCGGCCATCGTCGAGTGATCTTCGGGGAGAAGTCAATGGATCCGAGCCGTTACCATTAGTATTCGCGGATCGGAGATCAGATATCGAACCAGAAAGTCGCCTAGATGACCCGGCAGCCAATGGAGCAAATCGCGCCATGGGCTTGGTTTTAACAGACTGATATGACTGGGTTCGGTTCGACATGGAAGGACCTTGGTGGGATGGCGGCGGTGGCTGCACAGTGGCACGGGACATCTCTTGTGATGCAACGCATTTGTAATACAGATCCGATTTTCTGAATCCATCGAAATATCGAGAGCTCATAGTCTCTAATACCCCACTCTGAGCTTTCAAGATTGCTCTTCTGGCTTTGAAATATTGGGCAGGCGTAGCCGATATTCCCGCCTGGAGAAACTCCTTGACAGCCTTCTTGGACCCGTCCGGTACGTTGAGTTCCGGCTTGGATAGGTATGATTGATGAATCTGTAGCAAGTCGAGGCGGTCCGAGTCTGTCCACATAGGCAATGTAGATGGAAGTTCATCGTCCTGCCCGTCATCCTCCAAGGGGTTTCGAAAACCATCAACAACTAGCCAGAACTGAACCAAAGGCATCAAACGCTGGCGGTCCATGTATTCCATAAAATATGATAGACCTGCCGGATCCCGCAACAGCTCTACGAGGGATGCATTCTCCAGCTTCGAAGTGGAGCTGGGTGGTGCAGGGGCGGCTGGCAGAGGCGAATGACGGTTCCCTCCCGCGGCCAGGTGGTGTACCCTCTCCTCGAGGAGCCGCTTTCCCATTTCCAATCGACGAAGATAGACTGGATCCTGGTTCTCCTGCAAAGAATCACGTTTGAGCTGACTGGCAACTTCGCTGCGGAATCGCCGTGCGTCAGATAAATTATTAACCCTGCGGATGGCCCGAATGAACTTTTCAAATTTGCGCTCATTGTCTGCCGGGGCCAGCCGCGGCCCCATGGTTAGTTTACTGGATCTTGGTGTAGGAGAGGCATGCTGATCCAGAGCGGCTCTGAGCTTGCGAACAGTGGACCTGTCTTGAAGCATGGAGCGACCAAGGTTCTCTATCAGCTGATTCCATACATCAGGATCGCCGAGTAGTTGGACGACAGGGAACAAGACTGCGCATCCTACAATCTCTCGCACGACGATGGAGACGGCTCTACTGGATAGCATCTTCTTGGGAAGAATCTTGGTCAAAAGTCGTCCCACCAGTGATCGTAGATAATCTTGCTGAACCATCTTGGTGTCGGGAAAGGACAAGGAAGCAGCTGGATGTAGTCGGCCATCCCTGAATTTGGACGCAATTGCAAGATCCAGCTCTTCGGATTCCGTTACAGAGCGGTTTAGTTTTCTTCCTCGCACTGACTTCTCGGCTTCGTAAAAATCATGAAAATGAGCAGTCAACATGGGCACAAAACGGCTCGTAACGAGGTCAGCAAAGTCCTTGTTGCGGAGTGAATCGACCAAGCTTAGGAGTGCTTGTCGGATGGCCTTGTCCACCTCGTTTTCGAATGTCAGGTTACTGCTGATGTGAGAATACCACGAGCGTACAAAATCGCGGAGAATCAGGTTGAGAAGCTCATCGAGAGCTTGAGATGCTTGGGGGGCGCTGGGGTCAAAGGGCTCCTTGTTGTAGACCTGTCGTTTCCGCAGCGCTTCCGCCTCGGTGCGCCATCTCTGCGAACTGAGAAATGCCACTCTCGCCGGCAGCGCCTTTCGATGACCATTATGAGGGTTCTGTGTGGCCAAGACCAGAGCCGCGATGAGTGAGACGACAGTGATGACGATACCACCCACGAAAGCATAGCCAACCCAGCGCAGCGTCGAGAAGCAGCTCACGGCATAGCCCCAGGCAACGAAGTAAGCTACTCCAGCAAGCACTGCATCTCTTCGCTTCAGGGCCATAGTCGCCTGCTGGGCATCATTGTTGAAAGACACGGTGAGCGAGGGCACATTAGCATATATAGCGTCGTAGTAGCAGCAGTAGCTTGCGATTGCGACGCTCCAAGCAAGCGTGGTTACAGAGCCACCCGTTATCGATTAGCGGCGAGCCCACCATTACGTAGCGCCGCTGCAAGCACTCCATACAACAACGGCCCTCTGCATGCATGAATGCCTGCACATACTTAGCTTGCAGGTCTTGGAACTCGATATGAGCGCATGATGCTGCTGTACATGAGCCGACATTGATCTGATGTACAATTCACATTTGATTTGTTGGCGAGAGAGTGCCGTGCATGATCTTTATACACGGGGTAGAGCTCCACACAGGTGCACAGAACCAGTGATATCATGAGTAACTGCATCTGCTATCGCAACCTAGCAATACGTCAGGACGCTTCCAATCCCGCCCTTTTCCACGTCATAGGCCGAGAGCTTCCAAAGGGTATTCGTTCGTCTATCCGTCTTGCTCAAACACATCCAATCACCATGGCGGATCTTCAATACGGCGGAACAATGCTACGAACTTCTGTCCCTTGTTTCGCTCCACTTTCTTGCCCTCTTCCGTTTCATTCAGCATAATTTTGACGCACTCATCATTCTCTTCCTCCTCCTTGCTAAGCCGTTCGAACGAAGGGTGGGCGTTGAGGTGTTCCACCATCCACTCGTGTAGAGCTTCGACATCAGTGATTGTGTAGACAATACCGCCGGGGCGCAGTGCGTAAGCGTATTCGGAATTGAGAGTGACTGAGACAATTCGCGCCTTGTGCTTTTTTGTCTTGAAGTGTGGATCGGGGAAGCATATGAAGATTTTGCTCAGCTGGCTCTTCTTGAAAAAGTTGGGCAGGAATTTCATGGTATTTGCACGGATGCAAGCTGCGTTCTGATAAAGTGCGCCGGAGCTTTGCGCCCGCAGAGCCCATATCTTTTCCTGGACAAACTGTGTTACTGTAGTGCGGATCTCTAAGCCTGTAAAGATGTCAGTAGCAGTTCCTCTAGACAAACGAGCGAGAGAGGGAAACTCACCAAGAATGAGTTTTTCTGGAAAAATAGGAGCGAGACCGACAAGCAGACCTCCAAAGCCACATCCTATGTCGACAATCTCAACATCCTGCTTCATCCTTGGAGGCATAGATTCCTCTTTTGGCGCTTCCTCATCCACATAAGCAGGATAATATGATGACCAATCCATATGTTCAGGAGAAATCGGGCTGCAATGAGTTAGAAAACGAAATTAATACGGCAGAGGTAGACTTACTACTCTAATAAGTGGTCTGAGAAAGGGTTTGCATGTGCTCTCTGGCGATAAAGCTTTTTCCTGGGCAACAGGACAACGCCATCTTGACCTCTTTTTTCCCGAAATCTGTCTCGCCTCTCTTTCTTATTTGATTGGTTACCCATTTTTAAGAATGCAGCCTGTTCCACAGCAGTTCGTGGTGAGTTGTAGAGTATATCAAGCTGAAGCTGATGAGATGGGATATCTGAACTGGCGGCTGGTGAAAGTTTGGTGTAGGCAGAAAAGGAAAGCGGTGAAGCTGTTCAAGTTCATCGTTCCCTGGCAGAAAGCTGCACCAGGTTTAGCGGCCGTCGCCCTTCATTGCTGCCAATTGAAAATCTTAGCAACATGGCTTCTCAGGTACTAGTGACTAGTAGCAGATACTGCTGCTAAGTTGGTCTCTTGGCCGAGTGCGCAAGCAATTGAGCCGTCTGTCGTGGATTCTTTTTCGCATTCTGGGCAATATGAGCGCTGACGCCGACTGACTAAAACATCAGCTCGCCGATACGATAATCTCAGGTAATCAATGTACGGAGTGGCGAGATGCAATGGCGAGATGCAATGGCGAGATCATTCGGAACCCGCTGCAGAACAGCACCAGATAAGGGCCGAGGCATAAAGTACCGAGTACAACCTTGATCTCAGCCAGCCCCTGCGCATCGCAAGAGCTGGCCTAAAAAAAAGCCCGACAGCTCCTAAGCATCATCCTTTTGTTTTGCTGTCTCTGCCGAACAATCGAAGCCTCTCTTTAATGCCCGCCATCGCAAAATCTTCTTCCAACGTTCTGCATCATGTCTGTATTGTATTGGGACGCCTCGGGCCCGCTGGCATACCTGTCATTTCCTGGCTCTGCTTTCCTGGTCAATGCCATCTCCTGGATTAGTGTAAGTAACGGCCTACATCACATCCCTCCTTTTCCACTTGCGCCTCGTATCTGACCCTCGAGGACAGCTGGTTTTGGGTCTCTTTTTCAGTTTACCGTTTGCTCTCTTTGTCGTCTATGATATCTTGCTATGGATTTGGAGAACATATAGCAACCATTCGATCCAGCCGCAAAACGCGCAGACCCCCGCCACAGCCGGCACGATATCTACAAAGACTTCGGCAATAAGCCCCGAGCATCACGATCAGCGAGCGAGACGTAGATAAACGACCCTGATTCTGAACTTTTCAACTTTTACGATTCAACGCATTTACATCAAAGCATCTATATGTTTTCGAGCCAGCTTCTAAGCGATTTGCGAAAGCACCTTGATAAGGTCTCCCGTCACACCCATTGCCGTCACGTCTCCACCGGCTCCCGCGCCTTGGATAATCAGAGGATTGCTGCCGTATCGCTCAGTATAGAAGCTGATGATGTTGTCGCTGCCTTTGAGGGAGGCAATTGGATGCGAACGATCGAATTGCTCTAGTCCAACCTTGACCTGCTGCGTGGCCGCATCGATACTTCCGACAAATCGGACAACTTTTCCAGCCTTCTCGGCAGTAGCCTTGATGTCTTCCATTTGCTGATCAAAAGCGGGCAGCTGTTGAAGGAATTCCTCTCCGGTCGCGCAAGACTCGAGTTCCTTGGGAATTAGACTCTGAGTAGGGAATGATGTCGGCGATTCGACGGGCAAACCTGCTAGGCGGGCTAGAATGGTCAACTTGCGCGCAACATCAAGGCCGTTCAGATCATCTCTTGGATCTGGCTCGGTATAGCCAAGGGCCTTTGCCTTCTTCACCTCTTCGGACCACTTGCCGCCCTGTCCCTCGGTCGGCGCAAAAGAGTTGAAGAGGAACGACATAGTTCCGCTGAAGACGCCCTCGATCTTGGTGACCTTGTCTCCGGTCTCGACCAGATCCTTCAGCGTGGAGATGACTGGCAGACCAGCGCCTACCGAGGACTCGTGGTATACCTTGGCACCAGATGTTGCCGCGGCAGTGAAGATGTCCTGCCAGAGCTTGTATGAGCCGGAAAAGGCCTTCTTATTCGGTGTCACGATGCTGAGGCCTCGGCTCAAGGCCAGAGGGTAGGCATCAGCGACATCCTGGGAACTGGTGTTGTCGACCAAGACCACTTTGGCTGGGGCGGCGGCCAGATAGTCAATTACTTGCGCCAAAGGAGGAGGGGCCTGGGTAGATGAAGCGAGGTTTTCGGAAACGCCGTCCAGGCTGACGGGAGAGTAGTCGACGTTGTAGAGGGCTTTTCGGCTAGTCGAGATGTAGCAGAGGCTCAGCTTGGGGGATGGTTTTCGAGCAGCAAGCGTCTGCAACTGCGAGAGGAAGCATTTGCCGACACCACCAGCGCCTAATTGACAATGACGGGTTAATTGGATCAATCATAGATGGCACTTTGGGATAATCATATAGCACAACAGCACCTACCAATAATGGCGATATAGACTTGATTGACTGCGGCCATTTTGTCTTGTATGTATGTGTAGGTATATGTAGCGCGAAAAACAGGCACAGCTCGAAATGAAGGATGACGGTTTCGAGACCGATAGCGGGGTGGTGTGATGGATGGTGGGGTTAAGAGAGTTAGCAGCTGCGCCAAAGCTTGACAGTCTTGGCTGATCTGCATCTTGCTGCTTTATCTGGAGTATATCAGTAGATGCTGGACAAAAGTTTATTAACGTTTTGATACCACTGATACGAGTTATCAATGGTTTTCTCCTTCGCATCAGGCTTATTAAAAGAAGTGCCGCTTATACTCGCGTACCAATTACTACATGCTATCTGCCGAGCTCTCAATTCTGAAAGAAATACTAGACATACGAACAGCCGAGCTGCCTAGAGGGGATAATTACTTCTAGATCTCAGTATAAAAAGCTATCAAGTTTTCTGTATTGTTAGCTATGATGCGTTTGTTGCTTTTCCAAGCAAAGACTGGAGACACTGTTGAATCTACTACATGACGAACCAGACCAGCTATATTGCAATAGGATATTGCTTACTGAGGAGTGAATACTACCTAATGACCCACTACCCTACAGAGAGGGAGGGAAGGGAGATTTCTGGGATAAGATGCCATCTGTATGCAAAAAGAATAGAAAGACTGGAGAATAGGGGATTTGAACCCCTGACCTTTTACAGACTTGCACTCAGACTGAACAAATGCAAAGCAAACGCGATACCCCTACACCAATTCCCCGAATCATCGAAATGCGCCAAAGGTATGTTACTGAAATAGTTTTTGGAGAGGATGACTATCTAGAAGTGAGCCTTGGTTTCTAGTGAGCATTATGACGTTCAGTTACGATCCACTGATGGGCTCTTTTTGGATGAAGAGTCTATCTGTATGCACTACTGCCCAAGTCCTAGGGTAATCGTGAGTGCTCTCGCGCCATAAGACAAGAGGTAGTGAGGCTGTCGCTCTGGAACCGGTGCTATGCAGTATGCTATGGCTAACTGTATTTAATCGTATTATAATATGGTATATAAGCTTTGCAGAGCATTGGAATATTTTGTTGTCTTCCATCTAGTTATCATTTGCGTCTTCCTAGATGCATACTCGCGAATGGCTTATATGCGTTGCTTAGTCATCACACTGATCATTTTCCTTTCTTCAGTGACGTTCACCTTCCAGTAGCACCATGGCGATATAACACCTTTGAGATTCCACAAACTCACTACCTGAGACTAAAATATTATAACTGAACTCTGGAAGACTTTCTGTGATATCCAGCACTTATCTTTGAAAAGAAGAAATCGACTTTGTTGAAAATTAAACGCGATATTTTGAGGCGCAAACAGAGTACTCTCAACCGCATCAGAGAAGAAACAGACGGACATAAATCACGATGCCCCAGGATCCGAATCTTTACGGCCAAAAGCCTCAGAAACGAGCCAAACGAGAGACATTATCGTCGTCATTGGATTTCACTGCTCAGCTCACATCACTCATGTCTAATGCTGCTCCCCAGGGATCAGCATCAGCAGCTTCTGGACGCCCGAGGCCATCAAAGCAATCCAAGGATGACATCTTTCGCGCCGCTGGCAAGTCAAAAAAGGCTGATACCAAGGAGAGAAATGCGAAATCGGAACAACTGGTCCTCAAAGAAGTGACCGGGACGGAAGAAGAGACGCGAGAACGCGAGTGGGCAAAACGCAAGATGGAGAGCAAGGCACGGCTCTACGCTGCGATGAAGCGTGGCGATTACGTACCAAAGGACAACGAAGCGGCGCCACTTGTGGACTTTGACCGCAAATGGGCCGAAAATGTAGAAGGTAAAGATGACTACGAGACCAGCTCGGATGATGATGGTGGGAACAGGAGCGATGGCGAACAAGTCATCGAGTATGAGGACGAGTTTGGACGTACACGACAAGGAACCAAGGCGGACAAAGAGAAGATGGAACGCCGTATACGGCGAGGGCTGTTGGGCGCGGAGGAGCTGGAACGCATGTCAGCGCGGCCCAGCGCCCCCAGTAACCTCATTTACGGGGACGCGATCCAAGCGATGGCGTTTGCGCCGGATGACGCGAACAAGATGGAGGAGCTGGCGCGCAAACGGGACAGGAGCGAGACGCCGCCGGAGATGAAGCACTACGATGCGGACCACGAGGTTCGGACCAAGGGCGTCGGCTTCTACAAGTTTAGCAAGGACGAAGAGACGCGGGCCAAGGAAATGGAGTCGCTCGAAGAGGAGAGGCGCAAGACCGAGGGGCAACGCCAGCAGCGCGAAGCGCAGCGGGCGGCGAGGCGGCGGGAAATCGAGCAGCGCCGGAAGGACATGGGCGACCGACGGGCGAAGCGCCAGGCAGAAAGCTTTCTGGATGGGTTATGAGACGAGCAAGACATTCTGCCTACTATAGATCAGAGGGCCAGTCTGTACGGCGTACGAAGTACGGTCCGTATATGGATAAATGCCACTAGTTATATTTTCATATGGGGCAAAGCTTTGCACGTCTTTGTCCTGATGAGCTCACCCGTACTGGAGTTAGATGTAGCTGGCGTTATATTGCAGTTCTACCTGGTTGCTTCTGCTCAAGCGCCAGAGTATCGCCGGCTCATACCCCTCAATGTCACCCAAAGCCTCGAAAACGTCTGATCGCCACTCAAACCCGAGAAATACAACCCATGTCTACCGCAATATGCGGTTCAGAGCGCGATTCAGTCGCAAGCCGCCACAGCCTATTATTGATGCCACTAGGACAAGGGGTAAATCTTGATGATTTCGTCGAAGGCGTCTATAAGTCGCATCTTGACAGCAATTATTCTCGATTTTAGTGCGTATGGCTCGGCTGCGATGATTGCATCCAAATATTCAGAAAAAGCTTGCTTCCCAACCTTGAGGTCTTCCAGAGCGAGCCCAGGTCCCTCGAGAGCATTCCAAGCGGTGGATTTGAGTGGTACAGTGGCCAAGGTATTCATGAACGGTGGTATCAGGTACTCAATCTGGGCTAGGACTTCGAGGCCGCCTACCACGCTCAAGCTCCCAGTTTCTTTAACATGGCCAGTTGCAATCTTGAGGGTTTCAATCAGGGCTATTGCGTCGTTTTCGATCTCCTCTGCACCAGTGAGACCATCAATAGGAAAATAGCTTATATCATTGCTGAGAATAGTGATTTGGGGACCAATGTCTGCAGTAATATCTTTCAGAACATAGTCTCGTCGCTTGCAAGGAGCTGTGTCGTGGCGGCAGCGACGGCTGAAGCCAGCAAGATGAGCTTAGCGAATGATGCCATTTCGACTGCTTGATGTGTGTAAAACTGTTGATAACTGATGGTAAACCAGGTTGTTGTATGTATATATGTGTGTGTGTTAGAGTGATGTCTGATGGGATTTGTTGGAGACGCAGACCCCTATTAAATGGGAGTCGTCAGGCATTGAACATGCAGATATGTTAGACAGTAAAATCCATCAATAAAACTTCGCATCAGCCGATGTAAACTTAGTAATTCGCATATCATACATCTTACTATAGACGTCTCATTTTGGCCTTTAGACTCAGACGCGCTTTTGCATATCTCTTATTTGTGTGGCAACACAGTGAAGTGACTGGTGAATTTCTGCTCGATGTGGAGAGTAACACCAGTGTAGCAGAACTTATCAACCAGGATAGTATCGTGATATAGGGTTTAGATCTCGCTGGAGGCAGTCGATACTATGTAAGTTTTGGCAACAACTGTAAACAAATGTATAGCCCAGTGAATCAGTAGCTGTCAACGATAATCCAAGACCACGCATGGTAAAATATCACTTAGGACATAGAATAAATCACACGCTTTCTGGCCTCTTTCCTTTTTCTTTCGTGTGACATGGGTTTCCTTATTTGACTTCGCCTTAGTAAGATGTAAGTCCTCCTAATCGCCTTGTTTCAGTAAGCTAGGATGAGATCACTCTACTTTTTCACGATGGAAAATTCGCGAGTTCGGATCTTGCAGACCATTCTCGAACCCTGATGTAGATGATTACCTATCCATTAGAAATACTAGTAGCGGGCGCCTGCTTTAGTTAAACCAACAGTACGAAGTTGTTTTTGATGTGGCTTGTGAAATCCTCGATGTGATTCCCTCTTTGCTGTAAACGATCAAGATTGTATCTTTTTGGCATTTACGTACAGTTTTGCGTATTAAAAACAATAGCCGTACTTACAGACTGGGGTGTAACCTCGCAAAATTCACCACAGATCCCTCACAAACTCAACCATGAAGTTTAACACGACTTGTGTTCAAGAGAAGATTGGCTTGGCGTCAAATGTACCAGGTATATGCTTGTTTTCCCCAACCGACGCAGTAGAGCTCAAGCGAATCATTTTAATGCTTCCATATCTCAGTGATCTTGCTAGACTTCATCCAGTCTCGCTTTGTATCTTACACGAGCAGGCAGTCACGTACCGTCAAGGTTGCTATTGTCAGCCTGTGTCCAGCATTCCTTGGCAGTTTTCATAGTGGCACCGTCTCCCTCTGTGGCTCTGAACGGCTACACAAGGCGAGGTTTTGCATTTTACCTTTGCTTTGTTTCCGTTCATATTTAACAACGAATTTTACGTACAAGTTAGCCCGCAACTTTGTAATACAGTCCGAGTAACTGAGGCCCTGATACCCTACATCAAATCCAACCACTTGACAGGCTTCTACGTCGGATAACGCTCTGTACGTCTTGGTTGATAGTGAGATTTGGTTAAGCGTCTATATCATAATGCTCTCTAGTTATTCGTTACCCCATTTCCCTTTGCTAGTAAATGATGGCATATGATGATTTTGGACATCTAACACCGTTGTTCAACTCATATCGCAATTTAAGGATGGTATATCACTCGACAGGTGATTACACAGGGAGGGAGTAGTAGAATCGCCATGGTGATGAGTTGAAATATTTTTTAAACTCTTTCGATACCCATAGAATTGGAGCTCGTGAACTAGTATAAGGAGTGTTGTTCACTACATCACTTATCGCACTGTATCAATCACATATCCCGAGGCACGCCAAAGCCGTACGCTGAGTTCTGGGTTTACTGTAGCAGTATTTCCCTCGTTCCGTTTAGCCATTATTGATTCTCCTCTCTCTCCCCCAATTGAACTGACCTTGTGATTGGGCGGATTTGGGCGCGTGCAGCGAGCCAATAGAAGGGCTTCATGGCGCCCGCAACGACGAGGAAACAGAAATGAAAATGACAGCCCGCGCAGTCGACTTCCCAATCTGTGTGCGAGGCCTCGGTGCGATTTGGCTGCTAATGATGCGCTATTGCGACCCAGGCCCGCTAGTAATGCGAGGGCGTCTGATCGTATTGTCGTCGTATAGACTAACAGCCGGGACGTTGAAAAGGACAGTTCTGCCGCACAGTTGGCGGACGGCGCAATCCGTACGGACTAATTTCAAACGAGGCCTTTTTTGCCTATCTCGTTTCCCCATGTGACGGCGACCCGCGCAGATTTGAGAGCTCGTCGTTGTCGTCGTCGTCACAGGCTTGCGTGAGCCAATTGTTGGGTGAGGCTGCAAGGCATGTGCTCTCGCTGCAAACTTTGGCCCCGAAGGGCTGCATTGGCCCAAAGGATTCTGATCGTCTGGGGTTGCACTGCGGGACAGCAAACTCAGAATGCTGTTCGTACTGTGCTCGCGTGCTGGCTTGAGCCTCCTCGACTGTACTCCGTAGCTGCGCTGGCTGCTGCTTACGGATGACGGCCCCGAGCGGTTGGATTAATCTTACCCGTCGCTTTTTCGTTGCTGCAATTCGCGCGTTGTGCCAGGACCAGATCCAGAGGGTAAGATGAGGCACAGGTCTGCGCCTCGACGCGGGAATTTCTCCCATGTCGATGTAAAATTGCTGCAGATCGAGGTAGTGCCTATACCGCCTATACGAGTGTTGTTGCTGGTGCTGTGATGGGTGCTAAACTGTTAGGTGGCTTGCGTTGTGGTTTACGTGGTATCGTGAGATGTACTAATCTAGACATCCCGGCTACGTGTATACAAGGATGCAGAAAAGCTGATTACACGTTTCCATGTTGCGATAGTTTGTAATGGCCTATGGAGGAGGTGCTTTTTGGACGGCAGACAAGATAGGCCTAACTTGCCGCTGTATGGGGTAACTCGAGTAATACCACCCAGTAGTGACGCTGCTAGCGGTCCTAGTAGCTTCGTAGGATTCGCGTAATTACCAGTAACTCGGGGCTAAGGCTGGCGAAGGCCGAGTAGACGGGTTGATTGCTAAGCCATGTGAGAGGAGTACGAAGCAGAGCAAAAGTACTTGAAACAGGAAAATAGGTCGAAAGTGTAAAACATAATAGAAGATAAAAGCGAAACAGCTAGTGGAATGTGGTTTGAGCTCGAAAACTGGCGAATGGCGTTCGTTGGCTGGTTGGAGAGGGCCAACGCGTTGAGACGACTGAAAGCGGGAGGTTGTCTATTGATTGGCCGCACTGGCTGGCAGACAGACTCGCTGGATAATTGATTGAAGGCCAGCTGCAATGTTCCTTTATTGGCATCAACAACTATTCCCAGAACAGGTTCTTCGACATATCCCAACTGTATCATATTACTGGACAGATATGGCATCTATAAGGAACATGAGAATAGGCCTGCCTGCTGCAAAACTCTCACACGCACAGTATTGTCTTCCACTGTGAGCCCTGGCTGTGCCATCGCCTGGGGAAGCGGCGCTAAACGCCTGGTGGCACCCGCTGGGGCTGGCGCTGTTCCGGCCAGGCCTGAAGCGGGTTGGCGCCGAAAAGTGTGAGTCACCGGCGGGGCCTGCACAGCGCGCCCTTGGCTGGTTGTAGCCTCTACTTGCGCGTGCAGTCTCGCTCAGCGGGTGCCTAACAGCCTAGCAGGCTGCCTGGCGCCATGCATGTTAGGGCTGCGCCTGGAGCCACTGCCCTGGCTTGGTACCGCCGTCCGCCCCGCCCGGGTACGTACCCGCTGGCAGGAGTTGCTGCCTGAGAAATACATAACCGCCACAAATAATTTTTTTTCCCTCTCTCTTTTTTTTTTCCCTCCTCACCCCCAAGCTTTACTACCATATAAATTCAAAGCACGTTAGAAGCCTCAGGCTGCCTTCACGATGATCTAAACAAACCTCTTCCCGAGAGTTTCACCCCCCTCCGTCAAAATTCAGTCCACAGACATAAACAACATTCTCCCCACTCAACCCCGTTCAGCTCACCATTTGGTCGACCTGAACTTCAGCCCTGCTTTGAATAGCATCAGCACGAGTTCCCTTCTCACCGCAAACATTTCAGACCAAGACTTTTCAGTCTTCACCACGGATTCCCAGTCAACATGGCTTCCCAACTCAGCTTTCGCCCTGCCGGCACCATCCGAGCACCTCTCCCTGAACCCCGTCGACAATCCCCAGCAGGACTTTGTTCTGTTCGACAATCAGCCTCGTCGTCAATCTCATAATAGGAGCAACCAATTACCTAGCCAACGTCGTCACTCTTGCCACTCTCGTCGCGAGAAGCACATTTCCCCCGCAGTCCAGAACCAACGGGTGGCCCAGATACTTCAGGCTATTGGACATCAATCACAATCTCCTGCTTTCGGCAATCGTTTATCGAATCAGTTCTACGCATCTTCTGCTCCTTCTTCGACAATTTCATTGAATCGGTCTTCTCGCAGCACTCGACCGCCAGTCCCTTTGTTTAATCAGAACGGTGGTAACCAAATCCAAGCCGCCAAGATGATGAACGCTGCAGGTTTGTACAATTGTTCTATTTCATCTGATCTGTATTTTTGCTTATACTCTACTACAGACGTCGATTTGGACGACTTCACCGTCTTCGAAGGAGGTGCCTCCACGGCCTTCTCTTCTCCTGCTGTTGGTTCCAGCTTTGATTTCAGCAGCGGCGCCTCGAGTGCCGCCTCGAATCTTGGCACCGTCTCTCCTCAAGATCTGCTTGTTCAGGAGCCCTTCATGTCCGCTCCGAACTCGGCAGCCTTGACGGCCTTGACCTCTCCTTCGCTCTACAATGACAGCCCTGACTTTGATTCATATGATGTTTCTCCCAACTTTGGCACTGCCGAATTTGATAACGGCCCCAGCGATCCCTGGTTCCCTCTGTTCCCTGCTGATGTGAGCGGCCCGGAACTTGCAAATGCAAGCGCCTCGCCCTCTCAGACGCCTTTGGAATCAGAGCCTATGCGCCGATCATCATCTTCCGGCAGTGGTAGCGGCAGCGGACGGAAGAAGTCGTCAGCCGACTCGCCTACGGGCAGCGCGCGACTCTCTTCCGTTGCTGGTGTTAACCCTCGTCGACGAGAAAAGCCCCTGCCGCCCATCATTGTTGAGGACATGCATGACACAATTGCCATGAAGCGAGCTCGTAACACTCTGGCCGCTCGAAAGTCGCGGGAACGCAAGGCCCAGCGATTTGAAGAGCTAGAAGAGCGTATCATGAAGCTTGAGGCAGAGCGGGATCACTGGAAGAGGATTGCCCTGTCGCAATCCGGGGTATTGGAGTAATGAAGTAATCAGGACGAGAGTTGTTTTACTTTCCTTTTCGCTTATATCTTTGACTAAAACGGTTTTCGATGGAAGAGTCTTTTTTCTTTTTGCGCCTTTCTTAATAGTCTTTCAGATACTTTCAATTTCATCGGTTTGACATGCAATTTTTGTTGACTTTTGTGCCTTTGTGATCTGATTTGAATTGTGCATTTGATTTCTAATAACCATGTCCGCTGTGTTTGCGGTTGCTAGCAGAAGATTGAATGTTTATGTGGTTTCAGTTGCTTATCTTATTATAGAACTGGCTACCTATAGACAAATAGACGTCTTTTAATCCATAAAATCAAGTAATCATCCATTGTTAGATAAAAGTAGTATAATAGAAGGCTATACCAAAACGTCATGATGTAAAACGCTTAAAAGAAAGAAGGAGCTATCCGCTGTACTAGGAGAGAGAGCATTTAGAGAAGAAAGGACACTCAGTTATAATGGCCAGGTGAAGGTCCGAAGAACGTTCCCTCAGGCAGCGTCTTGAGAAGGCAGTCGTCGGCCTCGCATCCCTGAGCGACAACGTTGTTGCCCCACCAGTCGAGCGCGATGCCGTGATAGGTGAGGCCGAAGAATTGGATGATGGCTGAGATGGCGATGCCGGCGGAGAAGGCGGCCGATAATACAAAGTTGTACTACGTATGAAGAATGTTAGCAAAAGCAGGATATCTGGCATCATTTTTGGCATTTCCTTACCTTTGACCACAAAGCCAAGTATCGTTTCTTAATGTAGACCCATGAAAACGCCGCGACGGGCACGGCGGGCCACATGTAAGTCAAGTTGTACGGAGCCCACTGAAGGCCGCCAAAGAGGAGGACTACGGGGTGTGTGCTGCGGAGCACACGGCTCCTGGGGAAGTATTTGCCCAGCAGCCAGAAGATGACGACGACGGCGACGCCCAGGGGAAAGCCGAGCAGCGTCTCAGAGTACTGGCCGCCGACGCCCCAGATCTTCTTGGGGCCGACGGTGCCCCAGAGCACGGCGGCGGTGAAGAAGGTGTTTTCGCCGGGGCAGACGAACTTGAAGGGCGCGTCCTTTGTGCACACGCCCTCGAGGTGGACTTGATACGTGACGATGCCGACGCAGACAAAGGTCGAGACGAGCGTGGGGACCATTTGGGCGAAGAAGGTGAAGCGCGGGGGGATCTTGACGTAGTGGGCGAGCTTGAGGTCGTTGCTGAAGTAGAGGGCGTGGGAGCAAGTGACGTAGCCGTACGTCTTGAAGAAGCACATGGCGAGGGCGTTGCCTTCGACAAAGGAGCCGCCGATGAACTCGGCCAGCACGTTGAGCGAGACCTCGATGCCGGTCATGGCGTAGATGATGCCCGTGGGCACCATGAAGATGAGGCAGAGGGCGATGCCGTAGAAGACGACGCCGGGGCTGGTGTCAGTGGGCCAGTGGGCGATGGCGGCGCAGCCGAGGGCCACGCTGACGACGAGGACGATCATGTACCACCACTCGGGGACTTCTTTGTACTTTTTCATCAGGCGGTTGTGGACGTCGAGGATCTGGCCCTTTTCAACCTCGTCCCGCTTGGAGGGGCGGAAGCTGTTGACGAGGTCTTTGAAACCCATGGCGATTTCGAGCCGGTGGTAGAGGAAGCCGTAGGTCAGCGCGGCGGTGTAGGCGCTGAAGAAGAACATGTAGATGATGATGTTGCCGGCGGAGAGATAGGGAGGTGAGTAGGCTTGGTATTTAGTGTTGTCGATGATGCCGCGGTCGTCGAGGATGGCGGTGACGTTGTAGCGGTTGCCGTAGTGGTCGTAGGGCTTGTTGGAGTTGATTGGCAGGTAGGCGGTGTTGTACGTGTTTGTGAAGTAGACGGCGATGACGATGAACATGGAGAAGAACATGCCGATGAAGAGGTTGAAGGTGCTGAAGAACGGCACCATGAGAGGATCGACGTTGTACGTCAGGACGTTCCAGTCAAAAGTGGGAAAGGGATTGAGGCCCAGGCCGTTGTTGGAGCCCGTGATGTAAGTCAGGCTGGGGTTGTTCGGAGCAATCCAGGTCATCCAGCTGAAGGTTGCAAGCGCTGCGAAGATGTAGTTGGGGAACCAGAAATAGACAAACATGAGCGTGAAGGCGTAGAAGAAGAACTTGAATCGCGACATTGTCCATATTTTGCCGAATGGACCTAGAGCTGGCGCATTGCCCTCGCTGTGGAAAGCGCTGTTGAGGGCAATGGTGACGAGGGCCTGGGGCCATACACAATAAGACGGATACACTAAGAATCTTCGGCAGATTCCGGCGAGACTGTAGCCGATGAAGTTGCTCGACAGGGCAATCAAGATTTGATAGCCAAAGTTGATGGCCCACGATTGGTTGAAGAAGTGCGGCAGGAACTGGATCCAGACAATGTAGTGAGTGTACGGCGTGCTCTTCGCGATACTGGCCATGAGCGTAATGAGCATGTGTTCCTTCTTGTTGAAAGGGCCCGGGTTGAGGCTATGGCGGGTCCCAAAGAGCGTGATGCCCACATCCGGCAGCGTCTTTTCCCATAGCTTTCCCAGAGGGTATGCAAGCAGCTGGGGCACATTGGACGTGACGCTGATGGCGGGCTGACGAATGCCGAAGAAGCCATTGATGAAGGCGATGGCGCCCGAGAAGAAGATTCCCAGGACCCAGGCTCGGATGGTGGAGCAGGGCATTGTCGGGTCGTCTTTGTTGTCGACGACGCTGCGGACTTCTGCGTAGGGAGAGTTTGTGGTGATGAGGGCGGCTTGGATCTTCATCTCGGAGATTTGTTGCTCGTGTTTCTCGGGTTGGTCAAAGATGCCATCGTTGACTAAGCAGGTCCAGTTAGAGAAATTGATTTGATAACTGTGATTGGGATGGGAACTCACTGAGAAAGTCCTCAATCTTCTCAATAACGTCGAGGGGAAAATTGGGATCTCTCTTGTGCAGTTTGTAAAAGGTGTTGAGGAGCTGTTTCAATCAGTCCAATGGCTCGTTAATCACGTTGAGTGTTTTGATGGCTGCCTACCTCGCGCACTTCCTCGAGGGTATATGTTGCTGCAAGCTCTTTGGCCTCTAGCAAGTCGTCTTCGGTGACGTGGAGGTCGCGCTCTGCAAGATTGTCTTCTTCCGTGACCTGAGGCAACTCGTTGGATTCTTTTTGAACCTGGAGGTAAAATGTTAATCACCATCTTGTGAGTGTAGTCTTTAAAGAAGACTATCGATAGATAGATGGGACATTGTCACGAATGAAACAATCTTTGGGGTACATACAGTGTTTTTCTCGTCAAAAACACCACCGGTGTCATTGGAGGTGACGTGAGTGACACGTTCCTCGGACATAGTTGCGGTATTTCAGGCTCTAGACGGCCGTTCGAAATACTCTCCAGACTTGACGAAGATGAATAATTGGCAAGGATATCCAACTGAAGAGGAGTTCAGTCAGTGTTATATGTCTTGTTTCACTGCAGAGTAGGTAGCTTTCAGCTATTTCTCCGAGGCAAAGTTCACTTGGAAGCCGTATGAGGAAAGGAGGGAGGGGGAGCTTGATAAGGGGTTGCATCCAACACAAACACCAGAGACAGAATGTTTGGCAGAAAAGTACAGGAAAGCTAAGAAGCGCCATTTCCACCCCTTGCACGGTCCGGCTTCTTCCAGCCAGCGTCGTACAGTGGAACAGCCTCCACTGTGGTTGAGACATGAGTTAGAGTTCAAGATACGTAGCGTTGGCGGAGAAGCAAATACGCCATCCAAAGCCTTCTTACAATTACATGTTATCATACAAGAACAGTTTAATAACTGTTAGCCAACAATTAGCATAGTGCGTTGAAACAGAGAGAGAACATATGATTATAGCACCTATGGTAATTCTTATCATACCTAAGGTTGATCAGCCAAATCCCTGGCTATTGTAGACGTAAAGAGTAGGTACAAGGAGTAAAGTGAGGTGTGCCCACCAACTTTGGACACTTAGCTTGAAGCATTGAATGAATGCCCGCTTAGACTACCTTTCCATCATCAGAGTGGCTATCAAAGTAGCAGCGAAGGCGATAAACAGCCATTAGATAGATGCGAACGGAGAGTAACACCGTGTGAAGGTAATCCAACATGGGTCAAGATCTTTTGTCCAACACATATGAACGATGGTGCAATGGTATCATGTACGAGATACGTCTGGGGTCAGAATGCCAAGGGTCTGGACTCGCTCACAAAGATGAAATGCATACTCATCTGCAAAAGAAGCTCATCAACAATGGGTGGTGAGCAATCTGTATAGGCAGAGTGCAGCATTGGCGCTAAGCTCTCCGCCATGGACCTAGATATTGGCAATCTGATCTTGACGTCCTACGCATATTCGCAGAGCTCATCCTGCCTTAAGCGGTAATAGTGCCTAGAACTTGGCATTGGATACGGCGAATAGGAAAGGGTGAATGGTGAGAACGATGACGAAGCGCCGCTCTATTCCTCCATCCCCTCACAAACATGTTAGTAGCGTTCAAAATTGATATCCTAAGGACCGAGGCACTGATATCGAGCGCCAAGCACCATTTAACCATGGGACCTTTTGGAAAAATAGGAGCTCATGAAGCCATAGCGCCTTGGTCAGAGCAAGGCCCCTCTTCTACCAACAACTGGGAAATGGATGTCATCTCTCTGCTTGATAAAGTATTTACTAATTGCAGGGGGCGCCCATTGGGAGCCGCTGAGTGCGTAAACATCTTTGGCTATCGTGTATAGCGAAGAAGAGAGCTTATTTCGAGACGCCGGCTCAGCTCGACAGAGACAGGGGTTTTTCTAAGAAGCTATGCTTGCCTCATGCCGCGGCCTTGTAAAGATACTGAGAATAAGACAAACGTCAATTCCACGCTATGACTTGAGATTAGTAGCACAGAGTCGGGTAATTCACTATCGTTCAGTGTTTTTTTTTTTTGAAGACTATGTGTGACCCCAGCCGGCAACAAGGATCAAGGCAAGACACAGCGATAGGAGCTTGGCGAAAGCATGTCGAGGGGAAATGGAACTTTTGAAGGACGTGTTCCGTGTCAAAGGTCGTGCAGCTAGCCCGAGATTACAGCGAGACAAGACGGCTGCGCCTCCAACGGCAAGATGATACCGACCGCTGCAGGGTGGCGGCCGATCCAGACCTGGTCCAGAAGTTGTTGGTTGCACCAGGTTCGTTGGCCGTTTAGTAGCAAGCATCCGGATAGACTCATGCCTCGTCCGCATCTGAGGGGACTTTTGTCCTTGTCGGCGAGACTCTGCTATACAAGCCCTATAGACGCAATAGGGCCATGCAGACAAACATGCAAGCTGGTTGGACACCCTGGTTGGAAGTGGATGATCAGTGGGGTGGACGACAAACACAAATTGATGCTTATCTGCGACTGTATCTGCACCGTATCCCTAGGCCAATTGGAGATCTGCCTAGAGGAGCTGGACCTTTTGCCGGGATCTTGCGGGTCTTTGAGCTCGTGATGCACCAGGCTATGAAGGGAATCTTGGGCATACTGTTTCCAGCAGCAGTTCTCATGAGGCACAATCTTGAAGTGGTAGGAGCAGGGTTGGAAGATCCATGTCGCTTTTGGGGGCGGGAGATCACCTGGCGCTATAAACAAAGTTTGGTCCGTGCGCCGACTATCTCCAATCATGCATTCTAGAGTACTTTGAAAGTATCTTATGGCACATTACAGCCCTGGACTATGAGCGCTTTCATTCGCAGAGAACTTGCAGTATACAAGCCACCTGGTAGTGCTAGCAACATCCATCAACACCAGACATTCTGAGCTGTGGTTTTGCCTCTGCCACCGGCCTTGGTAAAATTGTCCATCTTCTGGGCTCCTCTACAGCGAATCGCTCCTCGAGTCCTGTGGCGTTCTCGCCCGGAACGGATCGACCCTCCGATGAATATGGACGCCACATGCACTTACTATCCAAGGAGTAGGCATCATAAAAAGCGCTTAGTGCGCCATGAAGTCTCCCATGCCGTTTGGGAGCCTTGGCCGCCGGTCTAGAACCAGGCGCCCAGAGACGCAAAAGTCCAGTCCAAGAGCTACTAGCTGGCTGTCATCACGTAGTTGATCGAGTAGTAACGCACCGAGTGATGATGCCAAGCAAGACGCTATTTATTAGCAATCTGTAGTCAGTGATCACGCAAAGCCCAGCATGTCCAAGATTGGCAGGACTTTTGCAGTCGCAAGGCCTCCCTTGATAAGAATAATACAGTAATAGCCCAGGACTGGCCAAGACTCAACAGATAACAATTATTGGTCTTCAACCTGAGAGATGGATTTTTGTTTGGGGCCGATCTGGAGTAGAGGCTCTAGACCTACGGTATGTAGATATCTATTTCTCTATACATCAATTACTGCACCGATCAGTTAAATAACGATAATGGGGCTCACAAAAAATAAGGATATCGCGTATGAGCCCGGATAAAGACGTGTTTTACCTAAGAAGGTAGGCGTGTGTAGATCGCATCGTCGCTTGATAACCCCGCCACTAGATAGATCCATACCTGTGAGATGACGTTCTTCGCCTTTTCTCCGCCTACTGACTAAAAGTGCACATTTGTCTTATGTTTTTATATATCATACTCATCATTTAGAAAGCCAAGATCCTCATAACTTATCGAGTCCATTGAGATAATTGCAGAATTATTGCAATGGGCAAAAAGCGGGTGCTTGTCAGCTATGGAGTTCATGTCGACGCTGTTGCGGGCTGGCTTGGCTCTTATGGCGGAGAGGACTCAACAAACGATATAAGCCGAGGTAGGTGCTATATATGTAATGAGGCATTCTGATAAAGTTTTTCTTACTTCAATCGTGATAAGGCATTTTTGCCGGTACCGTGGGCACACAGCGGCTGCTTAAGCTCTTTCGCAGCTATGACATCAAGACCACTTGGTTCATTCCTGGGCACAGCCTCGACTCGTTCCCGGAAGACATGAAGGCCGTGAGAGACGCTGGTCATGAGATTGGCTTGCATGGCTACTCCCATGAGAACCCGACCGCCATGACGATAGAGCAACAGCGCCAAGTGTTAGATAAGACGTACCGCCAGCTTGCCGAGTTTACCGGCAAACCGCCCAGGGGTAGTGTCGCACCATGGTAAGCTTAAATCTTTTGTCGTAAAGCGTGGTGTGAGTCAAGATTCTTGTTCTTTGACATTGCTACAGGTGGGAAACTAGCCGCGAAGGTGCCCAGCTTCTGCTGGACTATGGAATCGAGTATGATAGTAGCATGAGCCACCACGACTGTCAGGCATACTATTTGCCCGTGGGAACGTCTTGGACCAAAATCGACTATTCCAAGAATGCCGAATCATGGATGAAACCTCTTGATATGGGGACCAGCACGGGCTTGGTCGAGATTCCATCGAATTGGTACTTGGACGACCTGCCGCCGATGATGTTCATCAAGAAAGCACCCAACAGTCATGGTTTTGTAAACGCTCGAGACGTCGAGGACATCTGGCGCGATCATTTCGACTACTTTTACCGCGAATACGACGAGTTCATTTTCCCTGTGACAATCCATCCAGATGTGTCTGGCCGACCGCATGCTTTACTCATGCATGAGAGGTGCGTAAGAGATTCAGTCCAAGAACGTATTGCCTGCTTGTAAACTGACAATCGATACACCTTGCAAGACTGATTGAATACTTCAAAAAGCACGAGGGAGTTGAATTTGTGACAAATGAAGAAATTTGTGATGACTTCAAAAGCAAAAACAAACCTGCGCCAGGAGCCATAATGCCGGCAGAGCGAGGCGCTATGTTAAGAAAGGGCGCATGAGGAGGTTTAAGCTTATAATGAATGAGGAGATGTACTGCATATATTTTGGTTTCGTGTTTCCTTCGCTGAAGAAACAGTAATGGACCTATGAGTTTTAGGGGAAGGAAAGAAAAGGATTTCTATATAATAAGTTGGAATTTTCCAAGTATACAAGGCACTATGCTTAGTTTAAGAGAGAGATCCTCCAAAAGCCTCATGTGTGGAGAAATAATTGATCTTCCTTGATATGTTGAATTGGCGGATTTTATCCGGTATCAAATCAAGTCAGTACTGTTCAAACGATTCGGCTGTTGACGGCGACGCTGAATCGGATTTCGGGCCAGTTCACGGTACCATTCTATCCGAGGCTGTCCCTTCTATCTCTAGTTCCTTGGATCTAAAAATAGGGGTTGCCATGCTATGATACGCCTAGTGTTTTGGAGCATTAGACTTTCCAATGACTCGCTACGGGAAGGATTCCGAGGCCGAAAGGCGAGGTGCACGAAATGCGTGTTCTAGAATATTCTCGACGCTGTGAACCTGCATTATTCGGAACAAGTAGCATCTTCTCTTTTTCCTTTTGTTTTGTACGTAAAAGTATGAACATCTCAAGCAAAACAGTAAGTAGCACTTGAGAAATACTGTTTGTAATTCAGTGTATTAATAGACCTGCTTCTCCCTTGGGCTTTAGCCCCGGACATAAAAAAAACCTCTTAGCGCTCAATAGTTCGTTCACGACTTGGCCTCATCAACCACTCCACTCGCGGTTGGCAGGTTTTTCTCATTTCTCGTATTACTGTATATGGAATGCAGCGTTGGCTGTAGAGCTAACGGGTTAATTTAAAATTATCCGTGCTCGTGGCGACTTGAAGTTCCGTAGCGCTCTCAATATGTACGTGTAGCATGTAGGTTGCAGGTGGCAACTGGAGAACCGCCGAATGGCAGGCAGGAAAAGGCATGGATATTCCCACATCCAGCATAACGGCCACCGCAAGGAAAGCAAAAAGGGGCAATTGCAAAGCGAGCGATGCCACATCGAACCACTCGATCCAGGCGGCAAAGCAGCAGAAATCCCCGATTTCAGGGCCCGTGGCTCGGCCATTGCCTGAACGGGCCCAAGTTAGCGGCGTCTCATCTTGGTAGACCCGGAGGCGGCGGGCAAGTTGGAGCCACCCGCGGCACGCTGGCCCCAGAACTAGGCATCTTGGAATCTCGTTAAAAGGGCCGCCATGGCCGTTGCAAACGCGAGCTTTTGGCTTCTTTTTTGTTTCTGCCAGTCATTCGCTCATTACCAAAGATTGCTCCGGTGATCGTCCATTCGCTCATTTGCTGCTGAACGCCCAAGGCTGTTGAAGTCCATCGCCCACTTGAACTCCGTTCTTCACTTACACGTTCATAAAAAACCATCAACAACAAAAACGTCCACCATGGCTGTTCGATCTCTCGCCGCGACTCTCCTCCTGGCCGCCTCGGCCCTGGCCAAGACTGACCTTGCCGGCTGCACTTACACCGACACCGTCGTCCAGCCCAGCGGCCTGCCCGGCTACGACGCCTATGCCAGCCGCATCTGGTATGTTCCCGGCACCGGCGAGCTCTGCGACTTCCTCGACTGCGGCGGTGGTCGCGCCCCCCCTAAGACTGATGTCCCTGGATGTCCGCTTTACTCGGGCACCGCCACCTACTCGCCCAGCTACCTCGACCTCAAGACCAAGGCCGTGGATGCTGCCGCCACCTCCTCCGCCGAGGCCTCTGCCACCGGTGCTGAGACCCAGGTGATCGTTAAGGCCACCACCGCTGAGGCCACGACTCTGGCTACCTCTGTTGCCGTTTCCCAGTCTGCCTCTGCTGCCGTCACCACTGCTGCTCCCGTCGTCTCCAGCGGCTCGTCCACGGCCACTGCCTCCAGGGGCCTTTCCACCGGCACTCCTGGCCACAACGGCAACGGCACCTCCTCTGGCGCTCACCCCACCAGCTCTGTTCCCGCCAACGGTGCTGCTCCCAACGCTGCTGGCATTGTCGGATCCGTCCTGGCTGCTGGTGTCGTCGCTGTCGTTGCTCTGCTGTAAATGGTGGATCAGAAATGTGTTTCGTGCTCGTTTGAGAGCTGATTGTCAACTCGAATACATGGTTTACAAGGGGACGATAGGACTAGGGATGTTAATACACTATCAATGAAACTCTTTTTTGGAGATTTCGAAATCTATCTGCGTAGTGATGGGGATGTGACTGAGTGATGTGTGTCAGGTATATGCCCACCCCGTGATAAAATTAGCCCCCAAGTATTGCTGAATATAAACAGTAGCAAGTATGTCAAACTGATACAGGAAATGTTTCTGTAAAGACAATTCTTTACATGGTTACAATATTTTTCACCCAGTTCAATCAGAACAGTCGATGTCAAGAGTCAGTGGCTTGTTTCCCGAGATATGTAACACAAAGTCACACCAGTCAAAGATATTACGAGCGAATTTTAACCCGTAATACGAGATACGTAATATTATCAAGATATGTTCCGAGGGGTGTAATACAAAGTCACACTAGTTAAACGTGTTACAACCAGAGTATATATGAATATTAGTACATATAATGCTGCAAATAAGTTTTTAAGGCCTGGCTTGGGTAACAAATACAGAAATAGTACCCGAGTGATGGATCAGAAAAGAGCATCATTTAGCTGATTATATTCATCTTCTTCCTCAAAGCGTCTTGCATTAATTGCGACTAGATATCTGCGAACCATGTCTGTACTGCTTACGACACGAGTTGCCATGAAAGTTCCCATTCTTTTGCTCCAAGGGACGGGACAACGGATGGCGTGCACTTTACATTACAAGTATCTTCGCGTTTTAAACACTGGGTCTGTCTTATAGACACATTCTCGAAATACCTGTTAGGGCTAACAGGAGACACTCTGACACAGGCGTCCTTATACTATCATCAGTAGGCTGTACCCCCGATGCGAAGCTACTATAGAAAACCACACGATGGGTGCTTCCTTGCCTCGATATCTCGACCTAAAGATACACCAGGCGGTCCGCGAACGCGCTTACGATGGAATCACAGTAGTGGGGGCGTACGAGCGATCATATCCTTCTACCATCTTTCAGGGAGAAAAACAAGACAAGCCCTTCAACTGGCAGCGACCTACCGCCCGGATTATCAATAACCATTTATACATCGAGTGTTTCCCAGGATATGATTACGTAGAGCACTACGCTGAGGCCATTGCTAGTTTCCTCGGCATCCAGCAGCGTCAAGGAGGCATGTTGACACCTCCGTCAAGGGTGTCTTTCCAACCAGCCTCTTGCTCCGACACTCAGAACGCGCTCAAGGCTACAAGTATTCGTGGATTCCCAGAAGGGGCTGATACTGTTGTTCTCGGCATGGTCCATCGCTTGGAGCGGCTGACTGGCCCCGTGGATTGGGCTGGGGACGGCTGCTTTGCTTGGAAAGTGCGCCAATTCAATGGTCGTAAAGTGGCATTCGTGGGCTTTCGGCCCGCGTTTTGGGGCAACATTTCTGGAGAAGTCGTACATTATCTTGCGTCCCAGTATGGTGTGCGTGAGGTTCTCTACCTTGGCAAGCTGGGAAGTGTTAAGAGGGGACTGAGGCCAAACACTTTGCTGGCAACTGGCGGGCTTTCGTACGTGCGTGGACAAGCTGTGGAATGGGAAAACGTTCTCCGAGACTCAGTTGCCAGTGTGGCTCAAGCCTGTACAGTTAAAGGAAACCACATAACCTTGGGAAGCGTTTTGCACGAAACGAAGAATTGGCTAGCATCGTTGCCAAGTTCTGTTGACTTTGTAGATCCCGAGGTGGGAATGATGGGCCAGGCAGCAATTCAACATGGCATTCGGTTTGGGTACCTTCATATCATTTCGGATAATGTGGCAGAGAAGTACGAAGAGGATCTCTCAAATGAGAGGATGCGGAGTGTTCTGGCAGGGAGGTCTAAGCTTTACGAAGTCGTACAGGATGTTCTGGGGCACTATCTCTCCTCGGCCGTAGGAAGAAACCGTTGAAATCTAGCCATCTTCCTTTCATCGTGTTCTGAACCAGGTAATACACTGTCTCTACTACCTCTACTACCTCTACTACCTCTGCTACCTCTGCTACCTCTACTACCTCTACTACTTCTACTATTTTTACCATCTCTACTATTTTTACCATCTCTACTATTTGTACCTTCTTTAGTATTTACTATCTCTATTTCTATTATTTTTTCTGTCTTCAATCTTTACTCCTCTATTAGACATGATCACGCTATTTCCCACTCATTCTCGGCATATGCATCTGTTTCCAGATACAACCACTAATTTGCTCCCTGAATATTGATAAATACCACGATAGCCTGCAACCTTTGCTTCCAACTGATGCATCACAATCTGCCCCAGCTTAGCATTCCTATAGAGCAAGATCCCGGCTGAATTCTTGACATCCAGCAATGCACCAAGAGCGCCTTCATAACCAGCATCCACAACACCCGCAGTGAGTGTGGCGCCAGACCGCCATAGTGATGACCTCACAAACAACTGGCCCATTTAGTCCAATGGGACAGAGACAGTTTCGTTGAACTCAACGAGATATGCCCCTTGGCGTAGTTTGATAGCCTCGGTTTCCTTGTCAAAGCGTAGCTCGGAGGTATTGGCAGCTTGTCGATTCGAATTGTCAGAGTCGATTATGGCAGGTGAGGTCCATTTGAAGACACGGCGTAGAGAGAGATCGACTCCACATGGTTGCAGCTGTTGCGTAGCAGATTGTAGGTTGCGCACTATGCCCTGCTTCACGATTGAAGCCCCGCTTAGTAGCATTGTGGTTGATGGTTGCGGCAATCAAAGCTCAGAGGAACAAGGAGGTCTTCAATCTATATGTATCTATGGAAATATCTGGTGCAATATATGTACTCATCATAGCGCACGGTTCACCATTCGTCAGGAGAGTGTAGCCAGGCGATGAAGGTTCTGTTTTCGTTGTTACGCTCTTCTTCGTCCTTTCTTCTTGTCTTCAGCGGTTTTAATGTATACAACGTTAAAGTAGAGGATCCTGTTCGTAATATTCATCCTGGTAGTGGATGGCCGAAGGGAGATGCTCGTAGATATGGAACTTGCGAATATTCACATGTAGGTCGGTGCTGGCCTTTGTGGTCACCTCTTTGACACGAAGCAGCGTCAGAGAGATAAGGACTCGGGTAGCTGTCGGCGAGTGGTATCGTTCCGTTCGCCTGCTGTATCTGTCGAACTCAATGAGCTGATTTGAGCCAAGGGCCGTAGAATTGACACCAGAGACACGGATGATAGTGAACGACTAACGGCAAATATGAATCGGCCCAAGATGGGCTTCGTTGACGAATCCGAGGCGAGTTTGGTGGCACTGTATGGTTCAAGCTGTTGGCTGATGAGTTAGTCAGTTGATCAGCAGGATTTCTGTCATTTGCATAGAGAATTGGCTGGTTTGTTAAATTTAAAAGCCCCAGTGTGTCCTCAGGTCGATAGTCTGATCTCTTCACTTTGATCACATCGGCGATGTTGGAAATTCGGGATTCGAGCAAGCAGAACTTTGGGTAGGGCCGACGAGCATGTTCAAGGCCCGTCCAGGCTACCCCTTTGACGGGAATTCGTCCATCTGGAGCCGAGACTTTCAACTGCTGGTTCCAAGAGGATCGTGGAGCTTACAATTCCTGAGAGTCGGCCGGTCTCACAGCGTAAAACACATAAACGTCAGCTGGTCTAGAGATTGAAGCCGGACTCTATAAGTCTGTTGAGAGGCGAACGCCATCTTCTGGCTGGCTTGCGCTGGCCACATTCGAACGGGCTTGTGACGTTTACGACGATGGCTCGGTATACGTTATTGACGCCCCGGGCCACATGCCTGGACATGTCATGCTTGTCGTACGCGTCAAGATTCAGGACACAGAAGGGCCTGATGATTTTATCATTCTTTCAGGGGACTGCTTTCATCACTCGGCATTGTTGGGAGACTCGAAGCTGACTGGACGGCCTCCCTTTAGCAAACGTACTATGCATGAGGATCAATATCAAGCTTTTGACACTATTCAACGCACCGCTGAACTCACGAAGCAGCCGAACATATGGGTTATCAGGGCGCACGATGCCAAAGTTGCCCAAGCTATTGGCACTGATGAGAAAGGTGAATCGCTTGGACTTCCTAGTCTTCAAGATTGGCAAAAGAATGGCTGGAAAGATGATCAAGGATCATAATTATTCCCTCAGCATTTACATCTATAGAGCAATAGTAAGAGTTTTGGAAAATCGAGCTTGGTTCCAAAACATAGTTTGAACAATGCGACCTGACTACTAAATACGCAGGTCTCAGCGCCACGTCCAATGTCTATGACCGTATCTCAGTCATACTATCATTTGGCCGCATCTGATTTCCAACAGACCAAATGCATGATAGGGTTAGTACTTCTTCATTACCTGTTAGTAATAGTTGTGAAGGAAAATTGTGTGATTTTGGCTCAATGGAGCCAGGCCGCACACATAGTAGACTCAATGCCGACAGGGGGGAAATGGAAGAGGCATTGTGACATGAACAACACGCTGTCAAAGTCTGCAGACGCAAGCGGCTTCATGAGTCTTGTTTTTTTTTTTTCGCGAAGCAAATGGGGGGTTGAAAACTTACTGCCATGTAGATCTGTGAATATCGTAGATGGCAAATCTTGGGTGGCGCCGCTCACACGTTGCCTTAGACAATTAATTACATGACCAAACAAGTCCCTTGGTTCACAAGTTCGGACCTCGAATGCTAACTTCAAGTGTCCTTTGGCTTCTATTGTCCCACTTTAGCAGCGAAAAAGAGCTAGAATTGCCAAAGATAGCTTGACACTGAGTATTTGTTTGGCGCCGAGCTACCCACTTCTCGCTGGATGGCGACGGTGCAGATCGCCTCAAGAGAAGCACAGCGGCGGCAGACTCGGGAAGCGCAAGACGCCCGGCCGCAAGCCGCTAGCGTAAGTTCCTAGCCAGGGGAAAATAGTTGAGTTTTTCCAATCTCATTCTTTGCCAGAGCCAAGGAAAAAACACACAATTCGGGGGCCGGCTCCCGGATCGACATTGGCCACTTCCGGTCCCTATCCGAATAGCCTCACTGTTGCAATGCATTTGTAAGCCTCGTTCATAGTACCAGAAAAGGAGATAAACAAGCCGGATGAAAAATCAAGCGAAAACTGATGCAGCCTCGTAACAACACGAAGATGGGGTCTTGGGGACCGTGCTATTGCGGTATGTCTCATGCAAGCAATTACGGGCTTCTGGCTAAAGAGGTGGTGTCTTGACATATCCTTCTGTCTCCTTTGTTTCCCTTAATTTAATATATTTGAGAGACAACTCCTTCCCACTTCCGCCACCCGAACAAGCAAAGAATGGTTAAAGCCTAAAGACAAATTTATCAAGGTCAATCGATATCTTCCAAAACTACATAGTTTGCTCGAGGTTTGCTTTGCCTGTCTTTCTCGTCTTTACAGAAATCTGGCAAATGTAGTAAGCTTCCACCAAACTTAAAATCAAGAAACATTTCTCTATTCGCCACTTGGCGAAGCTTTCGATGGAACATTTCGCGTTCTCAGTTCCGGGATGCTCCGAGGTTGAGGCTCATTTGTCAGACCGGACAGACGCTTAAGAGACGAGGTACGCAAGGAAACTAAGCATTGTTAGCTCTGGTGCGCCGTTTAATCCCAACTATAGGCGATTGCATAGTCAAGCGGCCATAGATGTAGACAAAAGTAGACATATATGCCTGTTGGAGACGTGGGTTGGCTCTTAAAGGCCGAAGTGGATCCATGGTACCTCCGAAGATAGTGATGATGTAATTGGAGCTCATAAGTCAGCTCCGGGCATCTGTATCCGCACCCGCGTCCGGAACCAGTTACACTCGTCGTCGTCCATTGAGCCTACGAGTAATAATCGAGCCTGCTGATTCATCCTGCTGTTGTGAGCTCCAGGATGGCATATAAAAGCAGAAGCCATTTCACCCAACATAGACATTCATCCAGTGCCTACTACTACTTTGTACAATCTGTCATCAGCAAGGACTCTAGATTTACCAAACCTCGAAAACTGTGACGAAAACATGGGTTCTACAAAATACGACTTCAAGTGCGCTGTGATTACAGGAGGCGCTGGAGGTATTGGAAAAGGCCTCGCCATCGACTTCATCAAGCGAGGCAAAAAAGTCATTCTAGTCGGACGAACAAAGTCAAAACTCGAAGCTACCAGCAAGGAGATTGGAGCTGCCGCCTATTACGTCCTCGACACAGGTGTAATTCAAGACATTGCACCCTTTATTATTCGAGTCCTCTCAGACCATCCTGATGTTGACTGTCTGGTCAATAATGCGGGAGTACAACGTCCGCTAGATATGGTCAATGATGACCCAGCGACGCTTCTGGCTAAGGCAGATGAAGAAATCAACATCAATGTTCACGGGCCTTTGCATTTGGCGGTAGGATTTCTGCCACACTTCAAGAAGTCCAATGGAACACCTTTAATCATCAACGTCTCGAGCATTTTGGGCTACAATCCATTCATGACCATCAACCCGGTTTACAGCGGTACAAAGGCGTGGGTGCACTTCTGGACTATGAATCTGAGGACACAATTGCACCAAAATGGATACAACAACATTGGTGTGGTAGAGATTGTACCGCCGACGGTGGCCACCGACCTTCACCGCGAAAGGGCAGATCCTGATGACAACAAGAAGCACAACAATAAGTCGGCACTCAGTATTGATGAGTTTCTGGCAGAGGTGAATACTGGCCTTGAATCTGGAAAAGATACTATTGGTGCTGGCGCAGCAAAGGACTTGGTTGAACGGTGGTACAGCGCCTACGGGGACGAATATGACGAAAAGACTGCTCGTAACTGAGGGTTTCAAATCTCTGAGAAAGTAATACAAGTCGATAATATGATCAAGACATCGGAGGCCTACCAAAGCGTTGTGCTTGGGATTTGCCCCCTCTCTTCCATAGACTTGAAGTACACTGATAATGCTTTTTAGCTTAACATGCGGGAATGGTATATAAATTAATATGGATAGGACATACTGAAGAACTTGAATCATAATCTTGTTTATAAATGATCTGCTGCCTTCATTTAATGAGCTCAACGTGAACACCGTCGTGGTTGCGACTTTCGCGTCCGAGTGCTGGAGATACAATGCTTGATCGAATATCATGGGCGAAGGAAATTCCAGCCCTAATTATCCAACCTCAAGACTGTTTCAATGGACTAATGAACCAAGAAAAATGTTGAAAAAGACATTACTCAAGTGGTATGGGGAAGAAACAGGCCAGTGATTGGAATATCAAGTCGAAAAATTCCTCGAGCTTCAAGAAAAAGACGAGACTTTGTTTCAGGTCGCTGATAGGCCCAAGCTAGAATCTCAGCTTGGAACACACCATCTGCGCTTGTTGCGCCACAGTCGCGACATTGTTCAAAAGGGTTGCTGACGTTGACCAACATTATGTTACCAAGAGTCATCCGATTCCAGCCAGGGGTAACCCAAAGCCAATTGACAATGGGCGATGCTTACAATCGACTCGAGTACCGTATTTGCGCTGCATTCTTTACTTGCAAGGTCTCTGATCTGGGCTACAAGAGCTGCTTTGGATTGCGTTTTCGAGGAACCATAGTAGAAGTCTTTTCCTTGAGCCTCGCAGGGAGAGCAAGGGGTTTGTCTATTGCAGTAAAACGCAACATAAGCTATAAGCTACACGTACCTGCTGCAATGTAGAGATATAAACGGATCAAGGGCATTGAACTATCACATACGACCATATCCATTGGAAAATACGGGATCCCGTCAAGCTCTTCTCTTGAGTGAAATGTCTTCCATTTTTGGCATCCTAAGTCTTGAAGGAGCTATAATAGGTATGAGAAAACAACGAAGAATTGGAAACGCTAACACTGTGCTGTTAGCCTATGTGTATATCTACGCAACTACAGTAGAGTTATTGCTGTTTATGGGTCCCGCTGCTGCTATCTACCAGTTTCAGGCTTCAGACAAGAGGGTCTTCTGATTTGACTCGGGGTACCTAGGTAACTTTAATACACAGACACTTCCCTGAGCTACTGAAGATGTGAATGTTCCACTCGGTCCGCAAGGCTATAAAATTAAAGCTACCAGCGTATATATGCACGTCATCCAATTTTATTTTTCACCAGCCACGCTTCGCTCAACCACCAAATCTACAATCTTTGCAATTGAAGAACCGCCCATGATTGCAAAAACAGGAAGCGTAGCCCCGAACTCCCGTCCAAACCAGTTTCTCAAATCAACAGACATGAGAGAATCAACGCCATAGTGCGATAGCGTCTTATTAGGCTCAACATCATCAGGCGAGATAGACATGGCACGCGCCAATCTCGCTGCTAGAGCGCGAAGCACAATGCCGCTGCGCTCTCCTGAGTCCGAGGTCTGTCTAAAACGAACACCCGCTGCCGCTCCCCCGTTGTTGTTTGCGCCGTTGGATGTAGCAGAGCCAGAGTCGGCGATGAAAGAGAAGGGGGCAAAGAGCGGTCGGTCCATCAGTTGTGGAGCGCTGCGGCCTTTGATGAGGAGATCAGCGGGAGTGTTCAGTCCTAGGAGAACTTGACCTTTGGCCTGAGCCACGATCTGGGAGAGTGGGGAGCCTGGATCGCAGTACATGGTCAAGGCCGCGAGCAACTCGGTGTCTTCAATCTGCTTCATATCCTCAAGAGATTGACGCTGTCGTTGATACGCGCTGTTCTCGGCAACGATGCCAACGTTTCGCATCCAACCAATGTCAAGAGAAAGCGCAGTCTGGCCGTGTGCGAGACGGTATCTCACAAGAGCGTCTTGGTATGTACATCCTCCAGAGTAGTTGGCACTGGCCATCTGGCCAATGACGCCGGCAATGGAAGATAGCATGATGAAGAAATCCAGATCCTTGGGCAAGAAGCGGTGCAGATTCCAGGACGTTTGGACCTTGGAGCGCATGGTCAAGTTCCACTGCTCAAAAGTCATGCTGCTCTGGAAGACGGCATCTTGAAGAACCATGGCCGCGTTGATACAGCCTTTGACAGGCGGCATTGTACGACAACAATCATCCAGCGCATCTGAAAGATCTGCTTCCGATGCCACATCGCATTTAGGCGTCACGATCTTGACGCCCCGAGCTGTCAGTTCTTTTACCATTTCCTGAGCAGCTTTGGAGGCAGCTCCTGATCGAGATGGG